CGCTCATCAACGCGCCCTTCTCGCGCCCAGGGCCGACCGCAGCACCGCCGCGCATCGCGGACGTGTACCGGGCAATTGCACGTGATGCGGCAAAGAACAACATTGGCAGCCAGCCGTGGGTCACCTTCTCGGCGGCCGCGACCATTACGCTCAACGCACCCGACGCTCTGGCTGTGCTCTGGCGTGTGGCCTCGGAGCAGCCCACGCCGGCTCTGCCGCCTGTGGCCGCGGCCGAGCTGATCCGCGAGGTCGGCCTCAAGTGCATCGGCTTCAATGGCATCCCCCGCACCATCAACGTCCTCGGCAGCTTCCGCAACAGCGGCCTGCCCGCCGATGTTGTCTCGCAGCTTGCCACGACGCCAACGCGCGTGCCCAGGGCCGAGGATCTGCCCGAGACCACGGCCCGCGGCCTCGGCCTCTGGCGCTCCGTCTACGCGGGCGTCGACGTCAAGCTGCTCGACAAGCTCGCCGAGTCGCACCCGGACCTCCCCGTCCACATCCTCAACTCGCACTACGGGCCCCTCTTCACCGATCCGCCCAACCACGGCGCCAGCGGCCTCGCGACCGTGGGCCGCGCCCTCACCAGCCTCGTCGCCATTGCCTGCCTGCGCGCCCAGACCGGCGTCGGCCCCCAGGTCGTGTCCCACATTTTTGGGCTGCGCAAGGCCGTCGCGGACGGCACGTGGCTGCCCCATGGCGAGCAGGGCGCGTCGGCCGACGACAAGGAGAGCGTCCGCGGCGTCGACTGGCTGGCGACGGACGCGGGCAGCGAGTGGCTGCTGCAGAGCATCGACCGGATTGTCGGGGCCCTGGGCGGCTCCAACTTTGCCGGCGGCAGCGAGGGCAGTGACGCCATCAAGGCGAAGCTGTAGATGAAGCAGAGAGAAGGGGAACCATGAAAACAAAGCAAGACCCTGGTGGTAGCACCTTTTATTTTACTTTTTATGTATTTTGTCGGTCTTGCTCTTGTACATATATTAAGCAACGTTAATTATGAATTAAGAATACTGTGCATATTCACCTTGGCGTTTGATGTCGAATAGAATTGTGCAAAGCCCGTCTCCAATACCTTTTTTGGCTCTTGTGTGGTTCTTGTTTTATCTTTGAAAATTATTTTAAGCCGATTTTTGATTCCAAGTTTGTAAGTCTCACTAAGAGCCATTCAGATGAAAATTTTGATGTGGTTTACTCACGCGATTTGTTAACACCGAATTGAGCTGTCATCATTGTTTACTTTGTTTCATCATCTTTTTTCGTGTTCATCTTTACTTCACAGTGCCTAGCAAAGCGTGCGGCTGCATGCTTGGCACATTTACATCCATCCCGTGTGAGCCGATGCAGTATCTTGTTTCCAGGATTTCGGTATTATAGGGAAGAACAAGCAAGTTAAGGTTCACATGACGACGCTCCGTTATACAACAAAAGGGGTTCGGAGGTCCGTCACAACCTTAACTTTATTTTATTTCAAGAGATGGCCTGACTTCGTTTGCGGTTGCATTCGTAACAATAAAATATGAAATAGCCAAAAGAAGACTGAACACCAACAAAGTGCCGCGATGTTCTGCTTTCTCAAGCCCAACGTGCGCAGCAACCAAGGTAAGAATATGTGTCGGCGGTCTGCGCTCCGTAAAGCACATCAACGGTACAAAAGACAGAGGCGAACCGTAAAGCAGGGAACGTGTTAATTGGAAAGACAGGGTGCGGTTGAATTCCGCTGGCTGGTAAATTGAGTAAGGAGTTCCACGAATTAAGTACAGGGGCATCCATCGAAGTGTGAGCGCTGCCTCGGATTTTTGTCTTCTCTTGCCTTTGCACTGTCTATCGCCCAAATTTATATTAATAGACACCGCCCCGCTCTAAATGACGTTCTATGAATAACTTACATGGCTCCCTTTCCGTTACCAGGCAAGTGTTGAGCAGAGGCGGCGATGGTCTCGAACAACACGAAGGGGAGGCTGCCGCATCGCAACGACGGGAGAACGTTCTCCGGAATTCGAGGGACTCGCATACTGTATCGTTTGTTGTATTTTTTCCACCCGGTTCCTCCAGTTCATCTTACCATCATCACAACCACAAAGCCATAACCGCCACGACGGCCACCACCATTCACATTTATCCCAATTTACCCGTCGCCTTCGGTTTCTCGCCTCCCATCCCGCAGTGTGTCAATCCTTTTCTTCGTGATTGACGCTTGGGGGAACATGGCAAAAGTATGAACAGAAAACCGGCAACCGCAGAAAACAGGAAACGAGCGAGCGTATGGCATGATTTGAGGCAACCATGAGACAATGTAGAATTTTTGGGACGATACCAAGACCCTCTAAATGACAAGCCTACAAACTCGCCGGCATATAGGATACACAAGCCGCTGTTGAACCTTCTGTGGAGGGATCTGTTTGTGGAAAGACGACGCTTGTGGGTGGTCAATATCGTGCCGTCATTTCTTGCATTTTATTTTCAGTGCATCGCCCACAAGCTCCTTCGCAAGGAGCTTGTTCAGTGTCACCCTAGTTGGGCAACAAATGGAAGACGATCTTGTCCGTAACGCCACGGACGGCTTAAACTTGTTCTCTTCCGCCATGGAACAACTGCGCCGCAGACTAACACACCGAGGAGAAAGCAAGACCGAAGTGACGCCACAACTCCACGAGCCAAAAGGAGAGGAAATTCAGAAGAGCAGAAGAAGCACCAGAAGAAACAAATCAAATCGCCATGCACTGTATGCCACCTCGTCGAATGAGGTGGTGTTCTCAAACCCCCCCTTCATATAAAATAAACAAGACGTATAGCCGGCCTTCCATATAGATCGCCAACCGAATGTTAATATTGGGCCATGGCAAGGCCCAGAATATCACATCTCCTGACCCCTTTCTCCTTTCCAGGAAAGAATGCATCTACCTCGCAAAGTAGATAAGTGACCCATGAGGACCATGCTTTTCAATTTCCTTTGCCTTCATTAAATTTAGCATTCAAAAGCTTAATCGTCCCACCCGCTTCCAGATTTCCCCCAGCAGTTTTCTCACGTCATCTTACATTCACTTCTCTCATCCTCCATCTTATTAAGTTTTCATTTTTAACTTCTCATTTTCTACACATCCTTAACCATACCGTGAACAGACCAACCATGGCTGCTCGCAAGATCTTGGCTCTAGCCATCCTCATGGCGCCACTGGTGTCCGCGTCGCCTGTGCAGCCTCGTGCCGAGGACGGCTTTATCCCGACTCCCACTTGGTGGTTCCCTGGTCGACCCACGAGCACCCTCCAGCCGGATCCGGTGATCCCCGGAGGACCCATCTTGCCCGACCCCGTGTTCCCTGGCGGCGAACTGGACCCCGACGACCCGTTCACTGGTGATGACGGCGATTCCAACTTCAACGTCGGCCGTGCCGTAGCGGACGACCCGCCCCCGAGCTTTGGCCTGGGCGATCCGCTCCCGCCGACCCTGTCGCCGGGTCTGATTGTGCCCGGTGGCCCCCTCGTCGGCGACAACGGTAACAATGACGGCTCCGACACGTCATTTGGTGGGTGTTTGCCGGTTTTCTTTTGTTCCCTTTCCGCAACTGTGGTATTGACATTTCTGGTTGTATTGACAACAACGCGAACAGAGCCCCGCAACGCAGAGTAGATGCCGAGATTGCCGCCGCGGCTGTCGTCTGCACGTACACCCTTACTGACGCATCTGCCGTTCACCTGCCTGCGCCCTGCACCTGGGACGGCACCATGACGGAATATGCTTCCACCGTGACCAAGGTCCGGACCGTCGACTGCCACGGCTGCGACCATTTGCAAATCGCCCGTGACACGTACAACTGCCCGGCCATGATCATCCGCGGGACCACGTCTGTCGACACGGCAACAACTCTGTACAGGACAAAGTGCGCTCCATCGGCGGCATTGACGGGAACAGCAACAGGACACGGAACGGGGAATGCGGCGGCAGTACCGGCGGCGGCAGTGCCGGTGGCGGCAGGAGCAGCGGAACCGACAGCAGGGGCTGCGTTGTAAGGCAGACGCTGGGGGCGACAGGAGCGGAGAGCGGCAGGGGCACGTATGAACACCTTGGTTCCTTTCTTCTTCTTCTACGGTTCATTTTTGTTTTGTACTGTACTTCAAATCTGGTATTTTTACTCATTCACGCAGTCTCTGTTTTCTCCGATATCTGCCGTACATGTGAGGATACGACTTGTTGTCTATCAAAACGGCATCTTTCCTGGACTACGGAATAGACGTTTTAGTACATTCGTATAATGCTCAGTTTCTCGTATATGGAATTGTGCATCCTATGAGCTATCTCTGCAAGGTTGGGAAGCGGCACCAAAAAAAATAGAAGAAGAAGAAGAAGAAGAAGAAGAAGAGAGCTGCAACAGGTGCATGCCTGTCACGAAGTCTTGTTAGGCTACAAAAAGGAAAAAGGACAGCCTTTGGGTTTAGAGAGTTCAGATTATTCGCTGTTGTCGTAGCGGAGTGATCGACAGCAACGGTCAAATCCATTTCTTCCATCAGCCCGTTGATGTCGCTCCATTCCACGTCCACCACCACGATCCTGCAATTGGAATGCTGCCTTTTCGTCCTCGATCGAAAGGTGGATAACACGGCCTCATTCAGACTGCCTATTTAGTTAGCCTCCCATTGCAAGAAATTGACGTCCGGTATTTACTCCTCTCTCCCACATTCGCCGACTCCCACAACGATTTGGTTTGTCCTGTGGCCGAACCTCTTTCTTCACAGTGCCGTCTTTTCCGCTCTTTATGTTTATTCCACATTGTGTTCGAACGTTGACTTTTTTCCGCAAGCATTCAGACCGTTCTCATTCTTTATTCTTATAAAGCACATGCTGCTGCTTGGTTTACTGGTTTACTTTTATTTCCTTTTAAATATCAGCCTACTCATTCTTCGTCTCAATCTTTGTTTTACATCCTGGTCCTCCATACTTTCGTGTCTGTTATTGAACCTTTGTACATCTCACACTTCACCTCACACTACGACTCATACTTCAAAGCATGCTCTTTATAAACATTCTTGGCTGGGCCGCGGTTAGTGTTTTGGCAGGCCCTGTGGCTGACCGTCACTCGTCGCCCCGGAACGATGTCGCCAAGAACAGGCACAATCCCGGCCAAGAAGCCCGCGCGGCGCCGTCCCAGACGTCGTCCCAGCCGTCACCCCGTCCATCGTCTCTTGCTGCGCCAACCCCGTCGTCCGTCTCTTCCACGTCACACGACAGCAACTGCACTTCGACAATGTATCTGAACCTCTTCACCTATCCCTTCAACCCATCCACTCGAACGGTCCACTTGACCACGGTGACTTCGACGTATAGTGTCGACTGTCATGGGTGTCGGTATCTGGAGACGGTCAACATTGGTGGTCTTGGCCCCGTTTTGCAAGGCAGCGGAAACACGACGACAGATGCAGTGCCAGCCACCGTGACGGCATTTGCGTGCTCTGCTTAAGCGATGGCTTGCTGGTTGTGTCGATGGCAAAAATAGAGTTCTTACAAGTCGTTGAATTCGAGGTGGTGGGGATGTTTATATTGGGTTCACTTACTCTGTGGTCAGGGTAGCCTCTTAATCGTGCCTACATGTACCACTTACGCTTTATAGCCAGTTTTACTTTGCAGAGGGACGACAATTTTTGAGAACAACCAACTTTGTTAACCTACATACCTATCTATATCTAGAAACGACTATCTAGAAGCAAGTTGCTCCTATATTTTTGGAGATTTTATTTTTGGGAGGAAAAAAAGAAATCAGAAAGTCAAACAAACACAGATAAGGCAGTGCGCGTCGTATAAAAGGCACACTGTTGGCACCAAACCACAAAATCAGTCAGCAAATACGTGACAAGGTGTCGCTGCTGCTTTGGGATCAAAAGCATCCTTTTCAAGGGTCACCGCCTTACAAGGCGAGGGCGAGTGGCAAAACCACACTAGGCCTGGAAGAAGCGGGCGCGGCGGTCGTTCACCTCAACCACCTCGACCACCTCACCCGAATCACCGTCGTAATCGGGGTCGTCCATGGTCCACTCCTCGCTGACGTTCTGGGCATTGTTGGCAATCTCTTCTTCGGCCTTGGCCTTGGCGGCTTCCCAAGCCTTAACCTTGGCCTCGTAATCGGCCTCGGCCTTCTTGTGGGCCCTGTGCATGGAGCGGCCGGTCAAAAAGTCGAAGATGGACTTGATGCCCTTGAGGAGGCCTTCACCATAGCTGTTCGGGTACATGTTGACGGGCTTCTCCGTGGGGTTGGCAGGGGCAGCCGAGGCAGGGGTGGCCGGAGCAGCCGCGGCTCCCGGAGCCGCGGCTGCTGCTGCCTTGACGTCAGGTGCTGTGTCGGGAGAATCGGTCCAGTAGCTCCAGTCGATAGCCAGGGCGACGTTGGCGTCGGCGTCAGCGTCGGCGTCATTGTCGTTCTCGGCATCGGTCAAGGGGAGGGTGACGTCGACGACAACACTGGCGACGTCGATCTCGGCGTCCACAGACTCGACCTTGGTCCAGGAGTCGGTGCTATCCGTTGCGGAAGTCGCGTTGATCTCGTAGCCGACAGTCGTAGGGGTAGGGACGGAATTGTCGATGAGAGACACACTTGTCTCGTCGGTAGGAGCAGCCATGGCACCGGTAGCGAGGATAGCACCGGCTGCGATAGCCTTCATATTGAAAGAAGGAAACATCGTTGTTGGGTGTGGTAGTTGAGTGTGCTTCGGAAAGGTCAGGAAGTTGGTGAAAGAGTTACAGGTGTCAAAGTAGAAGCGTTGGATGGGGGACACAAAAGGTGCATAAACTATTCCTTTATACTTCACCAGGTTTTTAAAGTTCGCAAAAAGTTAGTAAGAATAAAATCGTGGACGTGGTGAAATTCAAACTGTGAACGTGTGCTTATGAGATCAATATCATGAATCTTATTTTAGGGTCATAAACAAACACGCCCACGCCACTAACAACTTTGAGGATGGCTACCCAATCATATCCATCTGCATCTCGTTCAGACGTGTCATGGCCCTGCATGCCCTTTTCCACATAGTCCTTTCGTTTTGCTTAAATGCCGGAAAAAAATGTGTCTAGTCCGTTCATGTTGAAGCTGAAATTGAACCCTTGGTTTTGCATCTGTTGGTATCTCGTTAGTACTCATTCTACCAAAGCCACAACCCAAAAGAGGGCCACGCGACGTATATGCAACTTACCAAATCTTCCCAGCCCCATTCATTGCCGGTACCCAGCATGAGGTCATCGCCTACCGGTAAGGCTGCATTAAAATCTTGGAGCGCAGCACCGTCATTATCTGACGTGTTCAAGGTGAGGTCTGAGCCTAGGCTCGTGAACGTGATTGCGTCGTCGTCCATCGACTTTCCAGGGTGCGTAGACGCCACTTCGCGAAGCAACTCCACGCAGTGCTTGAGTCGAGCAAGGCACTCATTAAGAACTGTTTGCTCCATGTCCTCCGCATCCGCACCGCGAGCGAGGGCACGCGCTTGGGATACGACAGCACAGGGGAAAAGGTAGCCCTTGACATTTGTCTCGCCCGCTAGCATTCGCTTCTCAGCATAGCGAACAGTCTGCTCCAGGGCCTCGAGGAGCACGGCTTGGGTGACAACGCCGGGCATGGCCAACTTGGACCCCGCATCGGAAGGCGGACTAACAGCTCCAACGTTTTGTGCGTCGCCAGCATTGCTGCTAGTTGCACCGGGTTCTCCATCGGCCGTGCTGCCGGTGTTATTGCCACTGCTGTTGCTGCTGTTTGCGCCGTTGGTTGATTTGATTCCCAGGCGCAAACGCACAGAGTGCTCTTCCTCCAGCTGCCACAGAAGGTCCATACTCAGGGTTGCAATACACTGTACAGGCACAAACCGGAACCCACTTGATCCGGAGACAGAAAGCCGGAAAAAGTCGTCCTGCTCGTCTTCGGGGGGTTCGGCTGCAGAGATTGCATCACGGTTGCCATGCCCGGCGGTTGAGGTCAAAGACGGCGGCGCCTCTGGTCCCGCTACAACCGAGGCCGATGAAAGAGAGGATGCTGCCGGCCCATAAGAGGGCGTAGAAGTCGATCCGGCTGCGGGAGTACCCGTCGACGATGCTGACAAAGATGAAGACGCTTTTCCTGACCAGGCCTGGTACAGCTTAAGAGACGTGTCGACGCCCATTTTCCGCGAAAAGTAGAACTTAGGATCGTTTTGCGACGCAGCAAGATACGCCTGGTTGAGAGACAGGAAAAAGCGGTGCGTCAGATGTTCAACAAAACGCAGTTGGAAATTAGTAGGAAGCAGCTTGCCCGCACTGCCCGAGGGCCGATATGACTGGATTGTACCAGCGAGGGCCTGGCAAGCAGTCCGTAGCTCCGAGTTCAGGCGCAGGGTCTCGTCGTAGGAGGTCCTACTGCGGAAATCGCTCACGTAGCGTGCAATGGCCAGGCGGGTAGGGAACGACTTTAGCAGCGCAATCTGCATAGAAGTGTTGGTAAACGTAGTCATCGGCTTCGGTAGCGGAGCAGCAGCGCCACTCGTCGCCGTTGTGGCCTTTTCCACGAGTTGGTCATCAAAAAAGTTGGCCGGCGGTAACGTATCAAAGTCAGATAGTGACAACAATGGCGGGCCACCAGAATCCAAACTAGATTGCAGAGTAATTTCCAAGATGGTCGCCCACAGCCGACGGCGAATCTCCGCCAAATAACGCGGGACCTTGGGGAGCTTGGTAGGGTCACGGTGCAGGCCCATGTACATGGCAGAGCGCATCAGTTCACCGGCTGAGGTCCAGACGAGGTCGGCACCGATACCAGATACCTCACGGGAAAAGTGCAGCAAGCACATGGTTTGCAGGCCGGGGATATTCATCCGCGCCTTCTGGGACGGTGGCGTCATCAGCCAGAACTGGGCCTCATAAATCCACTGGGTAGCTAGGTGGCGAAGGGAGAATGTCTCATCATAGAAAACAGCTCCTATGGCCATGCACAGCTGCATTTGGACAACAAAGTTGTTGCTAGCTGCGTTGGGGTTGTCCCAGTAACGGCGGTAGTCTTGCGTGAAGGTAGGGATATGCAAGACACGATGTACAGTTTCAAACGTGCGGAAGTAGCTGTTGATCAGCTCGTCTGCGACCTCACGGGCCGGTACTTTTTTGCCGTACTCAATGGCAAGCATTGCGGGGACGCGGCTAGACTTTATCACGCGACCAAGCGACTTGCACTTTTTCATGTGCTGATACAGTTCGCTGTTCTTGCTGTCCATCTCGTTCAAAAGCGGTTTCTAAAGACCGTGTCAGTAGTCACAAGACGCCATGTTAACCTTGGAAGAGGCGAAATTAAACACACCATGAACGTAAGTAATGCGCCCTTCATCCAATGGCCCGGGCCCATATATCGGTTCTTTGTAGGTGTATTGCTCTCCTCCGCGGGCGGGGAGGAAGATCTGCGGTTCGGTGGGTCGTTCCCGAAACCTTCAAACTGCGGTTCGAGCAGAGACGACAGAGGCATGCTTGAGGACGGAGGCTGCATGGATGGCGGTGTTGGCGGCGGTAGCAGTTGGTGGGGTTGGTCCATATCGTGGCGACCATGCCGACCATGGCGATCATGCCTGCCATGTCGGTCGTGGTGTTCATGGTGTTCATGGTGGTCATGGTGACCGTGGTGATCGTGGCGACCATGATGATCGTGATGGTCATGCCGGTCGTTCCGGTCATGATGGGGAAGGTCATGGGGGTGAGGGTGCATCATATGCGGAGGCGGCGGTGGCGGCGGCGGCGGGTAATGGTGGGGAAATGGGGGCCAGTGGGGAGGCCCGTGGTGGAAGGGAGGTGGGTGGTGATGCGGCGGCCGATGGTGAGGAGGAAGATGGTGGGGGTGAGGTGGAGGGTAATGTGGTCCACGGGGCGGCGAATGTTTGCCATGGTGCGGCGGAGGGAGACGGGGCTCGTCGTGGTCGTTGATCACGAGGGCCAGTCTGTTCTCCAGACGGCGGACTTGTTCTTTGAGTGACGACACCTCTGACTCGCCTGTAACAGACGAGACGCCCGGCAATGGCCCTCTTGCTATCGATCCGGGCGAAGGAAAGGCACCGTCGCGACTACTGTCAGTGCGGCTCATCTGGTCGTCTTGCCGGTAATGTGGATTACCACTGCTACTAGGAGCCCCGATGCCGCTCCCGGGAGCCGGAAGGACTACATACCGGGCCGGAGTCGAGGCTCCAGTCACGGAGGCCGATGACGTAGCTGTCCTTGTGATTGACCCCGGCCAGTCGGGCTCCAGCGATCCTGTGCGGTCAGCCGGGCCTCCTGGAAAGCCCCCTCGGCTGTCACGCTCAATCCGGTCGCTACTACCGGGACCTTCGCTCAGTTTGCGCACATGGCCCGCCCGCATCGGCGGCGACTTCGTAACCATAGGGTCCGGCTGGTAGAAGCAGTGTTCCGGCTTGTAGGCCTGCACGCAGTTGGCACATGGTTGCTCTCGGTCGCACCGGACTTTGCGCCTGCGGCACTGTAAAGGCGTTAGGCGTTAGCGACGTTGTTTCGTTAACCCGCATTTCCGAGCTGCGCTGACGCAACATCAATTTGCGACAAGAAGCCGACAGGCGGCCTGCGTTTTGCAATAGCGCCTTTGCATCATATCATCCCCTCCATCATCATCTTCACGTCCATGTCCGCAACCGTGGAATCATACCTCTTCGCACGCAAGTGTGCGGCGCCGACGCTTCCGCTTCATTGGTACGTTGTTGGGCTCCATGGTGGACGGCGGCTGCAGCAAGTCGGATTTAAAGAATAGGCGTTGGGAGACGGTTATAGTCTCTCAGAGGTTTGTCGAGCCGTGTTTGCAGGTCGAAGAAAACGAGGTCGAAAAGAGGAAGCTCGTGAGGCGCGGTCGGAGGTAAGGGAGGAGCGTGGCTGCCTTGCCACAGAAAGGGGTCTGGTGGGATAACAACTGCCACGCTATGTCAATTCGAGATCAGGGAAGGAGCTTCTGGGATTCAAAACAAAATAGGCAAGAACTGGAAACATAAAGTCACAAAAGAGGAGGGAAGGAGCGTCGGCAGACGGGAGGCAGGTGCTTCTTGCGACAAGTGCAGTTGTGGGTTTCGCAGAGAGCGCGGACTTTAGCCAAACGGTTTCGTCGGATATTGTGCTGCTAGGGCAGTTTTGCTGGAGCCAGAGAGCGTGCACGGGCCATGAATCACGGAAACATACGAGGTTCCGTCGCTCCTTTTCTATTTTTGCCCTGGTCTTGTTGGACAAATCGCCGAAAGTCCGAAGCAAGCGTCAATCGCCAGGGCAGAAATGAGGACTGTCAGACGGCGCATTCAGCACCCTAAGGCAGATTGGGAGGAGCAGCCATATGAAAGACCTGTATTACGAAACAAAACTTTTGCCTGCAGGAGCATCCAAAGGATCAAATCCGTTGCTCCTACGCTCTATCCGTGCGGCCCATTTCCGCCTCGGTACTTTTTTTTATGGCAGCTGCTGTTGCCTTGATAGCTCATTGCCACATGAGCAGCGAATAAGTCTGCCTCACCATTCGTCGTCAGCTGTTGAAAATCACAGAACCAAAACGACCCCTAATTGTTCGCTATCCATTCGTTCGAATGAGACCAGTCAAGGCAAACAGAACTGTCGCGCTCTAATCCATTTTTAGATTCCAAAGAAGTTTTTTAAAAATTGGGAAATAAACATGCAGCTAGTAAACACGCAACAAAAACTAAAAATCGTTGTACACAGGGGCCTGCCGTTCTCTGGACAGAGAACAAAGTCGAGGCCCCGTCCCTGGCAACCTCCTGCGTCTATATATTTGTATATACGATTGGAGCAGGTTGTGTTGGTAGCAATAGGCCAGCCATGGGAAATAACTGGCCTCCATTAGACAACTTCGAGACGACTCTCTGACTCTCTGGACGCTTTGGATGCGTCGGGTCCCCCAGACGTCCTCGTCGTCCGGTCACGATGGATATCCCATCCGCATGCCAGCATAAACTGTAGCCACCTTACAGCAGCAGCTCCAGCGGGTTCTCGACGGCCTGCTTCAGCTCGCGGATCCACTCAGCGCCGACAGCACCGTCAACGACCTTGTGGTCAAAGCTGGCCGTGACGACAATCTGGTCGTCCCACTCGACACCGACGGAGCCGTCCTCGTTCTCGGAGGGTATGGCAACCTTCTTGGTGGTGCCAATGGCCAGGATAGCAGCCTGCGGCGGGTTGACTACGGCGGTGAAGCGCTCGACGGCGGGGTTCATGCCCATGTTGGAGATGGAGATGCTGCCGCCCTGGTACTCCTCAGGCTTGAGCTTGCCGTCACGAGCACGCTTGGCGAGCTCCTTGACGGCGTTGGAGATGGACTCGAGGCCCTTGGTCTCGACGGACTTGACAATCGGCGTGATCAGGCCGCTGGGCGTGGCCACGGCAACGGAAACGTCAACGGTGTTGAACTGGCGGATGGCACCCTCGCGCCACGACGAGTTGGCCTGGGGCACCTTGCGGGAGGCGACGCCAATGGCCTTGATCAGGAAGTCGTTGACGCTCAGCTTGTAGCGGCCATCGGCCGTGCTGTTCAGGGCCTGGCGCAACGTCTGCAGCTTGCTCACGGACAGCGAGGCAGAGACGAAATAGTGGGGGTTGGTGTTCCAGGACTCCAACAGGCGGTTGGCAATGGTCTTGCGCATGCCAGTCAAAGGGATGTCCTCGTAGGCAGCGCCGGCAGCGCCAGCAACCGCACCACTGGGCGCAGACGAGCCAGAGGACACGGCCTTCTGGACGTCGGACTCAGTGATCTTGCCACCCGGACCAGAGCCCTTGAGGCCATCCAGCTTCACACCCTTCTCAATGGCAAGGCGCTTGGCGGCAGCACCGATGTTGGGTTCGCGCTCGAGCGCGGTCTGAAGGCGGCCGGGAGAACTGTTGTCCTCGGGCTCGGCGGGAGCGGCAGACTCGGATGTGGTCGGGGCAGGGGTCGGGGCGGACTCGGCAGGAGCGGCATCCTTGGACTCGGAAGCAGCGGGCGCGGCATCACCGCCAGCATCCGCCAGGGTGAAGGCCTCAAAGGCACTAACATCACCGCCTTCCTCGACGAGAACAGCAATGGGCTAAAAAGGAAAAGATCAAAGGTTAGCAAAACGCAACGGAAGAGCTGGCATAAGCATCCTCGCAAAAAAAAAAAAAAAAGGCAAGTGAAACTTACGTTGCCTACGGCAATGTCCTTGTCGCCCGTCTGCTTCAGGATCTTGGCGAGGACACCCTCCTCCTGGTACTCAAAGTCCATCTGGGCCTTGTCGGTCTCAATCTCGACGAGCACATCGCCAGGGGCGATGGCATCACCGGGCTTCTTCTGCCACGCGCCAATGTTGCCAGCCGTCATCGTAGGCGACAAGGCGGGCATCTTGACGACAGTGTGTGGCGGGTAGGAGGCATAGAAGCGGGCGAGTGCCGACGGCACGGCGTACCGCAGGACGGTCCGCTGCTGGAAGACGCGCCTCCGGAGGACGGGAGCGAGCATGGCGGCGGTGATTTGGACGGGAATCGGATGAATCTGGAAGGCGAAAAGGGGTTTGAAGGAGGGTCGGGAGAAGTCTGATGCGAGCTTTTTGACTTTTTAAGACCTCGATCGGAGGTGAATTGGGGGAAGAAGAAAGGGGTGGAGACAACAAGAAATAAAGTAAATTAGGACAAATCAGAAAAGAAAACTAAGACGGAGAAGAACGGAGCGAGCGCGACCAGTGGGAGCTCGAGTGACCAAAACGAGAGCAACAGTAAACAACAAGAGTGATCTGACGAGTCAATGCAGTCACAGAGGATGCGGTGATGGCTATGAGAAAGAAAAAAACAAATGGGAGCGAGTAACACCGGAGAAAGCGTTGGGGTGTTTGAGAGCGCGAAAAGTAGCGAGGGAATTGACGATGGCTGAAGCCAACTTCGGGGGGAATTGGCTCGAAACGAGCTTTTTTGCTGTTTATTTCTGGTCCATTTTTTAATGCTTTATTCGCTCGTTTTTACTCCTTCCCTGAAGTAGCCTCCTCGATCGCCGCAGAAGTCCTAGTGGTTGGGGCAGCAAAAGAGCTTGCCCGACCCACCACCACTGACAGGGGCCGCTATTGCCGTTGCCAAATGGCTTGTTCGCCAGCAGTGGTCCGCTGGACGGCGCTGGCCGCACTTCTTCCAGGGGTTCTACGGAATAGTGGTATTGATACTTGCAGCTACAGCAACCCCTGGCAAGACGTCGCAAATAGCGACGTATGATTGGTAGGCTTCTGCTCGACGGCCGCTAAGCTCCCAAAGGCCTTCTGGACAACGCGACAGGACCGACTCCGGCGGGTTCTAGTCTACGCTTAACGATGGCTTAAAATTATCTGGAATACAAAAAATGTCGCAGTGCCATTCCCGCTCTCATGACCGGAACTCTCTGGAACGATGTCGCACGGCAGAGCCACAACGCTCACTTGTCCATCACCGTCGTGTATTGAAACCAAGAAGCAGCCTACTGGATTACAACCGGGGAAAGGCTTACCACCGTACATGGTATACATTTCGCTCACTGTTTCTGTCAGACATTTGAGGCCACGTGAGACCACGTGATGCGGTTATGGAACAAATCGGACTTGCACAGCTGTCCTTTCGCCTGTGCGCTTAACATGTTCAGCCCGCCTAACGCCTCACACATTGCGCCACAGTCGCTCTGCCACAGTGGCCTTGCCTTCGCCCAAACAGGCGGTTGTGGGGCACTGGCAGGGAAACGTGGCGGACCCTTCCTCCTTGCTCAGCCAATCTGACTAGGGGTCGCCCACAAGCGTGGGTTCGCCGGATACGGGTCGCAACTGCCCCCAGTGCTGCGTGTCGTCTATTATTCTGTACTGTGGGCGAAACATGCTCCTTTCCTGGTTATGTTGGTTCCATATTAACTAGGCAGCCCGATTCATCTGCTTTCATCCAGCTGCTCGGCACCGGCAACTTTCGTCACTTAACGACGGGCGTCACACTCGACGGCTGTTCCTTTTCCCATCTTAGTTGCTAGCTTCCATCCAGATCCAATTGTGCCCCTGGCTGCCACGACCGTGACCTGAAGATCGAGCTGCCCCCCGAACAACAATACATCGGCAAATCGTTTCCTTTGGCTTCAACATCGACGGCGGCCATCCCCTGCGATTCCCCTGACGGCATCTGCCTTTGACAATTACACTCGGCCGATCGTACCACTCCAATCCTCGACCTCCCGCGCATGGCCCTTCGCTCGACCTACCCCTCCCGGCCAGCATGAGCTCGCTCAAGTTCGTGGCCGCGTCCCTCGGGGTCATTGCTGCGGCCAAGGACACTTCACACAATGCCCCGTTAGCGGACGCTGTCAAGAAAGCCCTTGCCGCCATCAAGGAGAAGGACCCTCAGTTTCCCGACCCCGAAATCATCTTTGCGCCGCTGCAGCTCGCCACCCGCTCGGGCAGCATCCCTTTGTCCACGACTGCCCTCGACTGCATTGGCAAGCTCATCTCCTACTCCTACTTCTCCATTCCGTCCGCCTCTGCGGCCGCAGCCTATGCTGCTGCCGATGCTGCCTCGACCGATGCCGACGAGGACCCACAAAGCCAAGCCGCTGCTACTTCTGCAGAGGGCTCATCAGACCCTGCCGACCGCGCACCGCTCATCGAGCGCGCCATCGACACAATATGCGACTGCTTCCAGGGCGATACGACGCCCGCCGAGATCCAGTTGCAGATTGTCAAATCATTGCTGGCCGCCGTGCTCAATGACAAAATTGTCGTCCATGGTGCTGGCCTCCTCAAGGCTATCCGCCAGGTGTACAATGTCTTCCTCCTTTCGCGGAACGCGCCCAACCAACAGGTTGCCCAGGGCACACTGACACAAATGGTCGGCACCGTCTTTGAGCGCGTCAAGTTGCGTCTTCAGATGAAGGAATCCCGGCTCGGCTTGTCAAAGCTCAAGCAGAATGGCAGCAGTGGTATTTTTGAGCAGCCCCGTGCTAGCACGGCCTACGAGGGCGAGGGCGGTGGCGATGGCGACGAATCTCCTGATACGGCCTCGGCTGCTACCACACCCGGTCTGGCTCGTGACGAGCCAGGTGCCGCGAACGGCGAAGGAGGTGCCGAAACGAAGTTGACACTCAAGGACCTCGAGCACCGCAAGAGCTTCGACGACTCGAACCTCGGCGATGGCCCCACTATGGTGACGCACCTCAAGCGTGACCCGACGTCCTCCGCACGATCCGTGTCCGAGCAGACGAATCCAGACAGTCCCCATGACGAGGCGCCCGAGTCTCTCGACGCCGAGGATGAGGTCTACATCCGTGATGCCTATCTCGTTTTCCGGTCGTTTTGCAACCTCTCCACAAAGGTGCTGCCACCCGACCAGCTCTACGACCTGCGCGGCCAGCCCATGCGGTCGAAGCTGATCTCGCTGCATCTTATCCACACCCTCCTCAATAACAACATCAGCGTCTTCACGTCGCCGCTCTGCACCATCACCAACACCAAGAGCAACGAGCCCACCAGCTTCTTGCAGGCCATCAAGTTCTACCTGTGCCTTAGCATCACCCGCAATGGCGCCAGCTCGGTTGACCGCGTCTTCGAAGTCTGCTGCGAGATTTTCTGGCTTATGCTCAAGTTTATGCGGGCATCCTTCAAGAAGGAGATCGAGGTCTTCCTCAACGAGATTTACTTGGCCCTCGTGGCGCGGAAAACCGCCCCAATGTCGCAGAAGCTGTACTTTATCAACATCCTGAACCGCTTCTGCGCCGATCCCCGCGCTCTTGTCGAGACCTACCTCAACTACGACTGCGAACCGAACGTCGACAATATCTTCCAGACGGTCGTCGAAAGCTTGTCTAAGCTGGCCATCACTCCTGTTCCCATTGCCTCCGACATCGAGCGCGCGTACGAAGAGAAGCACGGTAGCACCAGCGGCAGTGAATGGCAGATCAAAACCTCCCTGCCGCCTCCGCTGACGGTTAACTACATCGTGCCCAACCAAACCCCTGAGCCCGAGTTTCCGCAAGAATACATTATGAAGCGGGTTTCTCTCGATGCCCTCGTTGAGTCACTGCGGTCGATGGTCAACTGGTCGCAGGCTGGCCGCCCGGATGGCGGTGCAATGGCTGCAGCGGCTGTAGACGCGGACCGGCGGACATCTGTGGATGATGTCCGTGAATCCATTGACCCTTCGAACGGCGACAGCATTTCGCGTGTGGACACACCGGTTCTCCCCTCGACGCCTGTCATGGATGATGACCCGGAACAGGTCGAGAAGGAAAAGGCACGCAAGACCGCCTTGTCCGTCGCAATTAAGGCGTTCAATTTTAAGCCGAAGCGTGGCCTGAAGATGCTTGTTGAGCAAGGGTTCATTCCCAGCGACTCGCCCACCGATATTGCCAACTTCCTCATCCGGGAAGACCGGCTGGACAAGACTCAGATTGGCGAGTACCTCGGCGACGCTGACCCCAAGAACATCGAGACGATGCATGCCTTCGTCGACACCATGGACTTTTCGAAGCGCCGCTTTGTGTCTGCCCTGCGCCAATTCCTCCAATCGTTCCGTCTTCCCGGCGAGGCCCAAAAGATTGATCGTTTCATGCTCAAGTTTGCTGAGCGCTACAACGATGGCAACCCGAATGCCTTTGCGAACGCCGATACAGCATACGTGCTATCGTACTCGGTTATTATGCTCAACACCGATCTGCACAGTACAAATGTCGTGAAGCGCATGACCCAGCAGGACTTTATTCGCAACAATCGCGGTATCAACGACAACGCCGATCTGCCCGACGAGTACCTAATTGGCATCTACGAGGAGATTGCTTCCAACGAGATCGTTCTTGACAGTGAGCGCCGGGCGGCAGCCGCGGCTGGCAATCTGCCAGTGCAGCAGCCCACCGGCCTGGCGAGCGCCTTTACCAATGTCGGTCGTGACCTTCAACGAGAAGCGTACGTCCAGCAGTCGGAGGAGATCTCCCTGCGGTCCGAGCAGCTCTTCAAAAACCTGTTCCGCAGTCAGCGCCGCAACGCCGCCAAGGCTGGCGGTGTTAAATTTGTGCCGGCCACCAACTTCAAGCACATTGGCCCGATGTTTGACGTGACGTGGATGTCCTATTTCTCGGCATTTTCCAGCCAGATGCAGAACGCGCACAACCTCGAGCTAAACCGTCTTTGCCTGGAGGGCATGCAGCTGGCGGCCAAGATCGCGTGCCAGTTTGAGCTGTCGACCCCCCGCGAGGCTTTTATCTCGGCGCTTCGGAACGCGGCGAGCCTCAACAACGTTCAAGACGTGTACGCCAAGAACGTCGAGGCCCTGCGCGTCCTTCTCGAGTTGGGCTACACAGAAGGCAATTACCTTCGGCAGTCCTGGAAGGACATTCTCATCTCTGTCAGCCAGCTTGAGCGCCTGCAACTGATGGCTAGCGGTATCGACGCGAGTGCTGTGCCCGACGTGTCCAAGGCACGCTTCGTGCCGCCCTCCAAGGACCGGAGCAGCACAGGTAGCGACAGCCGGAAGTCCACGCAGCGTCGGCAGCGTCCCCGTGCTCCCACGGGGCCCAATGGCTTCTCGTCACCGGAAATCGCCTACGATCTGACATCGGACGAGACCGTTAAGAGCATGGACCGCATCTTTACCAACACGGCGAACCTGAATGGTGAGGCCATCACCCACTTTGCGCGTGCACTGACAGAAGTCAGCTGGGACGAGATCAAGGTGTCCGGCTCCAATGACAATCCGCGCATGTACAGTCTCCAGAAGATTGTCGAGATCAGCTACTACAACATGACGCGTGTGCGTTTTGAGTGGACGAACATCTGGGACCTTTTGGCCGACCACTTCAACAAGATTGGCGCCAACGCCAACGAGGCGGTCGTTTTCTTCGCGCTGGACTCACTGCGTCAGCTGTCTATGCGTTTTATGGAGATTGAGGAGCTACCCGGTTTCAAGTTCCAAAAGGATTTTTTGAAGCCGTTTGAGCACGTCATGGCCAATTCCAAAAACATCCACGTCAAGGATATGGCCCTACGGTGCCTGATCCAGATGATACAGGCGCGGGGCGAAAATATTCGGTCGGGCTGGCGGACTATGTTCGGTGCCTTCACGGTGGCTGCGCGCGACCCGGCCGAGAGCATTGTCAACATGGCATTTGAGAATGTCACACAGGTGTTCCGGACTCGCTTCGGCGTCGTCATCGCGCAGGGTGCTTTCACAGACCTAATTGTCTGCCTGACTGAGTTCTCTAAGAATATCCGGTTCCAGAAGAAGAGCCTGCAGGCCATGGAGACGCTCAAGGCCGTTGTGCCCAAGATGCTGAAGACGCCCGAGTGCCCCTTGTCGCAACGTCACCTGGCTGCTGCCAACGGCGATTCCAACGGTACGCAAAATGGGAACAGCACAAACGAAAGCGACCTCAAGTCGCCCCTCTCGAACCGTGCATCAACGTCAGTCGAAGAGGGCTTCTGGTTCCCTGTCCTCTTTGCATTCCATGATGTCTTGATGACGGGTGAGGACCTCGAGGTGCGGTCGAACGCACTTAATTACTTCTTCGAGACGCTGCTGCGGTACGGCGGTGGCTTCCCGCCCGACTTCTGGGACATCCTGTGGCGCCAGCAGCTGTACCCGATCTTCTTGGTTCTGCGGTCGCGGCCAGAGATGTCCAACGTGCTGAGTCACGAGGAGCTCTCCGTTTGGCTGTCGACGACTATGATTCAGGCGTTGCGCAATATGATTACATTGTTCACGCATTACTTTGAAGCGCTCGAGTACATGCTCGACCGGTTCCTTGAGCTGCTTGCCCTCTGTATTCTGCAAGAAAACGACACGATAGCACGCATTGGTAGCAACTGCCTGCAGCAGCTGATTTTGCAGAACGTCACCAAGTTCTCTGAGGAGCACTGGTCCAAGATTGTCGGCGCCTTCTGTGAGCTGTTTGAGCGCACCACGGCCTACCAGCTTTTCTCGGCCACCACCATCAACTCAACAGCATCGCTATCGCCGCCTCCCGGCGCCCTCGAGTTTGGCTACCCACTAAGCCCCGGCGTGCCACCCGATGGCACATTTGTGGACGAGAAGTCGCTCAAGATCAATGGCGGCAGTGGCACGGCCGAGAGCGGCAACCCGCTTCCCGACTCGGACACGGCCTCGACACTGTCGCTGCCAAGCACCGCCGTGGCAGTCGAAAGCGAGGACGGCGAGGACGAAGATTCCAGCGATGACCCGCAGACGCCAACCGCAAAGAGCATCGCCGCTGTCATCGCCGGAAACGGCCCGTCAACGCCACAGCAGCTCGAAGACTACAAACCGACCAGCAGCCTCCAGCAGCAGCCTGTGGTAGTGACGGCAGCACGTCGCCGCTTCTTCAACCGCATCATTTCACGCTGCGTGCTGCAGCTTCTTATGATTGAGACGGTCAACGAGCTCTTTAGCAACGAAGCCGTGTATAACCAGATCCCGTCGACCGAGCTGCTCCGTCTTATGGCGCTGCTGAAGAAGTCGTTCCTGTTCGCGCGCCGCTTCAACAACGACAAGGAACTGCGCATGCGGCTGTGGCGCGAAGGGTTCATGAAGCAGCCGCCCAACCTGCTCAAGCAGGAGTCTGGCTCTGCCGCGACATACGTGTCCATCCTCTTCAAGATGTACGCCGACCAATCCGAGGAGCGCCAGGCGAAGCGCGCTGACGTCGAGAGCGCCCTCGTGCCTCTGTGCAAGGATATTCTGCAGGGCTACCTGGCCCTCGAGGACGAGAGCCAGCACCGCAACATTATGGCATGGCGGCCGGTCGTCGTGGACGTGCTCGAGGGCTATGCACAGTTTCCCGAGCCGGCCTTCCTGGAGCACCTGGCCGACTTCTACCCGAGCATGATCGAGCTGCTGGGCCGCGAGCTGAGCGGCGACCTGCGTGCGGCCATTGTTCACGTGCTTCGGCGCGTGGGTGAGGTCAGCCTCGGCCTCAGTGGCCTCTTTACTGGCCAGGGCGCTGGTGGGCGTGGCTCCTCGGGCGCGTACGATGAACAGCAGGGCAAGCACCGGCGTCGTGGTGACAGCGTTCTGAGCACGGCGACAACGACAACGACTGAGGGCGGGACTGTGGACTACGAGGGCGGCGATGCAAGCACCAAGTTTATGGGCCGGCGGATGAACTCGCCATCGGCACCTGAGGCGTGAAGAAAAGAGGCTCCGTGTGTAAAACGCACAGAGGGGCGTAGAGCATAAAAAAAGGAGATTGATTCTATGTAGAAGGCTCTTGGGACGGATGTGTTTTGTGCCATTTTGAAGGCTTGTTTCTGCTATTTTTTCTCTTCTTTACTGTTGGTATATATTTTCTTTAAAACGTCAGGTGCAGGTTTCAGCACGGTCAATGTCACACCGACGAAATAGAAACGCGACTTAAAAGAAGTCTGCCTTTATGTATTTTTTTCGTGTTTCGATAGTTCGAGTGTCGAGAAATGAAAGGGGTTATATTAGACTGCGATAGGAAGAGAAATTAACAGAAGATATTATTTGACGTACATTTAGGGGGTTGGTTGCTTATACTTCATTGCTCTGAAAAATATGTCATAATAAGAAAAGATAAGTATATGGTGTAAAACATTTTATTATTTATTGTAAGACGCAAAAAGTCGAAAATAAAAAAGCAGATGAGATTTACAGTTAACAAACACACAACGCCCCAATAACAAAAGACCCAAGCTCTCAAACTCCCTGCATATGCTGTATTTTCTTTTACTGCCACCCAGAAACTCGCGTTGCCGACGCTGGAAGTATTTGCCGCAACCAGTCCCGAAGCTCATCCGCTTCCTCAGGGACTGTCCGGTCCGGCAATGACTGAAGGGACTGTAGGAGCTCCGGGTCCTGTGCCGTGGCCGTTCGCAGCAGTGTTCGCAAAACCTCAATGGTGTAGTCGACATTGTTGCCGCTGTCCTCACTTCCAGTTGCGGCCGACGACACGCGTCTCGCCAATGCAGCCACGCGCAACACGCTTACGAGCGTCTCGTAGAAGTCCACCATGCTAAGGTGCATCAGCACATCGGACGTGTCCACCATCTGCAGGGCGACAAACTGCAGCAGGCTCTCTGAACCGGCCGCGACCGCGGCCAAATTGAGGGCGGCCAAGCGCGGTACGAGCCGCAGGACACGCCCCTGTGCAATGGACTGCTGGTGCGTGTTGCCAGACGTCTCTGGGTGGGTGCCACGGCAAAGGGCCACAAGCACGTCCCGATAGAAGGCTGGATCGTGCAGGAGGCGGTTCCACAACTGGCCCTGGCCCGGTCGTGTGCGGAGGGGCGATGGCGGCGCAATCGTCGTTGTTGCAATACCACTAAGAGACCCGTTGATTCCCCGTCCTGGTTCGTGCTGTGTCGCCGTATACCGCACAGGTGGCAGTGGGCAGTCGACATCCAGCAGATCGCCAATCACACGTGAACCGCACTCGCCGACTTCGACCGCCGGCGACGCCAGCCAGCGCACAACCAGCGCGGAGAGCAGTGCATTCATAGTCGAGAGACGGGTGATGTCTTCGGCCGCACCAGCGCGGCGCTGGCTGGCCGTGTTGCTGCCGCCCGAGGCTTTGTGGACCACCGTCATGGCCAGCACGTTGGTCGCAGGCGCGGCGTCTGCGCCAAGAGCGGCGACCAGGTTGGCCTCAGACGCGAGCGTCAGCGCATCACGAAACGAGACAGGGCCCAGCAGCTTGATGGCGATGGAGGACAATACACCGGCATTGGCTTCGGAACCGACGGCGACTGGATTCTGGAGGACGCCGACGATCTTGGGCAGCAGGCGGGGTATAAGGGCAGGAATGTTGCCTTCGGTGAGCTGGAGCTCGACGGTGTCAAAGAGTGCTGGATCAAACCGGACTGAGGCTGGGGTCGCCGTCGGCGGTGCATTGCTGGGAAGAGCCAAGAGAGCATCCAAGTGCCGGTCGAGGTCGTCGAGGCCGGAGATGGGGGCGTTGTGGTCCATGATGGGTGGAGGGCTCAATATATGACGCTTTGAAATCGCTTGGCACGATATGAGAAGCTGCAGATTGGAGTATGCCAGACGACCAGCTTCCCCAAGCCTGAAGCCCCAAAGCGCAGCTCTGTGGCCGTTGTTGGTGATGAAGACGCCTTTTAAGTTGGAAGGTGTCGTCAGTTGTTTCTCTGCCTAGCTCTAATAGGTGCGCCTCGGGGAAGGAGCTGCCTGCGAGTTGGGGACCGGCTAAGGAAAACGCGGGGCTAGCGCTATTGGGCCGACGCAATGCCTGCCGGTTGGGTACCTTACAGCATGCTTTTTGGGCGGTGGGGGACGACAACGGCGAACTTGGTTACCGATTTGCTCACTGTACCGCGCCACTAGTGCCGGAACGCCACTAGCGAATGCAAGGTCCAAAAAATTGACGGGCAGAAAAAAAAGCTGTAGGACAGAAAGGCCTGTGAGAATTGGTGATAATCTACAGTCATAGGCCATACCGCATCGCGGTCATACGCATGCCACCAACGTCCAACGCGTTACATTTGCCCGCCTGCCCCGTCTTCGGTACTCAATTTTTCTGCCTCCTTCCTGTCCTCACCATACAGAACACACGATGCGTGGCGGTCGTGGCGGCGGTCGCGGCGGCGGTCGCGGAGGACGCCGAGGCGGTTTTGGTGCGCCATGGTCCGATGACCTTACAATGAAGGCCGACTCGCGGCCCGTTGAACTGTTTCCGGTGAGTTCCACGCTCTCTAAGAGATGGTGGCTTTTAAACGCTACCCCAATAATGCATGCGCATCATTAACAAGAGCAAAAGGCGTACTCTGCGCCGATGGCGGCTCCATTGACGCAGCAAGAGTGCCAGGCGGTCGACTATTTCCTGCTCGTCCGCGAACAGACGCACTCCACTCCCCTGTACACGCAGACGCGGACATGGAAGAGCCTTGAAGGCGCCGGGAGCGGCGGTCCTGGCGGCGGCGGCGCATCCGGCAAGGCGTACGGCCAGGACCAGATCAACCGGCAGTACGGCGTACGCAATAAGGCGACCGTCGACCCCTTCACGTCTGTACCCATGTACTCGCACCGGTTCCAGACGACAGAGCGCGCGCTGCCGGACCTGTCCGGGCGCCCGTTCAGCAAAGAGCTGTTCCCGCCCGAGTTGTGGCCCACGCTCGACGGCAACGACGACGGGCGGCTGGGCAAAGGCGGCGCCGGTGCCAAGAACATGCGCGACCGTGTGCTGGCACTGTCGGACGTGACATCGCTGCGCACAGCCGAGGACATTTTCCAGACGAAGAAGGCCGAGGACAGTGCGGACGGCGAGAGCGGAACACACAAGGCGCTGGAGCAACTGGAGAAGTTTAAAAATGTTGGCCTGGACAACGAAGACAATGTCGAGTTTGACTTGGTGGAGGATGAGGGCGACTACGACGAGGTGGAGGACGAGGAGTACGACGACGATGAGGAGGGCGACTACAACGCGGAAGCAGCCTTTGACAATGGCGACGACGACGACTATGGCGACGAATTTGACGATGGCGGAGGAGGCGGTGACGAAGGCATGTATTAGGGTAGGGGGGGAAAGGGGCGGACAGAACATTTGGAACGGCGTTTTGGGGAACGGCTTGTGTCTTTTGGCCTGTTGTGTATGTTGTATACACCACCTAATTATAGATCCCGTAATGACTGACGATGCTATTTCTATTTTCACGACGGAAGATCAAAATACTACATGTAAAAACAAAAGACGGACTCATTATATTACGCCAAGTAGAACGAAAATCAAATCGAACCGCGGCCGTGACCGCCGACCCACTCATCTTTGCTTCCTTCTCCAATGTCTCGACGTACATGATACAAAATAATACCCATGGTCCTTGACGTCCCCATACTCTCTCCTTACCGCCGACCCAGAAAGCCGCCCAGCTGCAGCCCCGTCATGCTCTCTCGTGCCGAGCCAACCAAGCTGGCCACCGTCAGGATGCTCTCCTCAAAGTCGCGGAGCACCGCTGCCAGCTCGGCGACTTTGTCGCTGGCCGAACTGCCACCGTCGCCGTTCGCGTCAGCAGACGACGATCCGTTTGACGAGGACGCTGCCACGCGCTGCAGTTGCTCCAACAGGCCTGCCTGCACGCTGTACATGTGCACCTCGATCTCGCCCAGGTTGGACTCGAGCTTGCGCAGCTGCGATCCGATCTCGTCGCCCGTGTGCGAGAAGTAGTTGATGAGGTCGGTGCGGCCGCCACCATCGCCGCCCCGGTCACTGCCCGCCTTTCCGTCGCTGCCATCGTCGCCGCCACGGACACCGTCCCGGCCGCCGCGCCCGTTCTTCTTGCCACCAGCGCCGCCTGTCGTCGACCACAGGCCGGATGTGTGGAACTGTGCCGGCAGTTTCTGGTTGTCAAGTACCTTGAAGCTGAGCTGCGCGTGCTCTGCGTCCTGCTTCACCGTCTCGCGCAGCGTCTGGATGGACTGCAGATCAGACGCCATGGCGCCCGAAACACCGTCGTACTTGCGCGCCACAAAGCGCACGTCGCCCGGTATGGCTTCGAGACTCTCGCTGTGCGCCGGCAGGAAAGCCTCGACCTGATTCTTCTGCTCAATGAAGGACTGAATCATTGTGTCAAAGGCAATGATGTCCTTTTGCAGGCTCTCCTGCAGGTCATTGAAGCGCGTCGTGCCCTTGAGGTTGGACAGGTCGATGCGTACCCCAGGGACGACCTGCTGTTGCTGTTGCTGTGCCTGCTGCTGCTGCTGCTGCTGCTGAGGTTGCTGTGCAGTGGTGCCAAATAGACCACCAGACATTGTAGATGGTGCCGCGGCTGCTGGCGTGGTTGTGCTTGCTCCAAATAGACCACCTGTGGCAGCCGCAGGTTGCGCTGTGGTTGTTGACGCGCTAAAGAGACCACCGCCCGTTGTCGCCGGCGCCGTTGCCGTACCTCCACCAAAGAGTCCACCACCCGTTGCAGGAGCCGCCGTCGTTGTCGTCGTCGTGCTGCCTCCGCCAAATAGACCGCCGAGTGCTGGTTTGGCAGGCTGGGCTGCTGCCGCTGTCGTCGCTCCACCACCAAACAGGCCGCCTGCTGCCGGTGCCGCTGTTGTCGTTGCCGTACCGCCACCAAAGAGAGGAGGTGTAGAGGTCGCCGGTGCTGGCGTCGCTGTTGCTGGGGAGCCAAACAGGCCGCCTGCTGGCTTGGCTGCTGTCTGTGTCGTGGCCGAGCCGAAGAGACCGCTGCTTGCTGGAGCTTGGGATGTGGCCGTACTACCGCTGCGGCGTGTTAGTGAATGTAAATGAACAGGACGGCACGAAGTCGTGATCAAAAGCCGTGTTGATCCAGGACGGATCCGAGCGAGGATGGAGCGCAAAAGCACGCCGTACTCACAAGAGGTTGGCCGCGCCTGTGTTGATGCTCAGCCCGCCAGGCACGCTCGCTGACCGAGCTAGCGCCATTGCTGAAGAGTGTGGACGGAGTTACTAAACACAAAGGTAGGGGGGCGAGGCAGGAAATGCAAGACAAAAAGGGCGGAGGTCTCTAAGAATGCGGTGTGGTCTTGGTGGTTGCGTTGGTTTGTTGTTGCTGTAGGTTTTAGGAAAAGCGTTTCGGTGATTGGTATTTTGGGCCTCCCCTTTCGACTTGGAATTTTGGCGCCTTGTCGCCCTGGGCCTGCGGTTTTGCCAATTGGTTTGTTTGAGGCAAGAGCTCTCGCGTTTTTGGAGGAGCAAGGCGCGGCTCGCGCTTCACCGCCTGCTGTTCCTGGCTAAAGCTGTCACGTGCACCTACCGCAAGCAGCGGAAATCCGCTGGCTCTCTGACCGCCCCCGCCACCAAATACGCAACAGCTCCCTGGTGTAATGCACGACAAAGGGCGCTGTCGAGACAAAGACCAGTGGTCTCCTAGTCTGCGATTTTGCCGCTTTTGCCAACCTCGTCCACATAGCTACGCTTCGACAAGTCCACGATTCACCACACGACGGCACTTCTTCCTCTCAGCTTTACATATCACGCTCACTAGAACACATATACGCCCACACAATATGGATATCGACGACGATGACGACGATTTCTACGCGCCGGATGAGCCAGAAGAGCAGACATCTGCCGCGACGCATGCTGAAGCAGCATTAGACCTGAAGCCAGAAGAAACCTCGGCTGAAGCAGAAACAGAAGGGGACGCTGGGCAGGGTGATGGTGCAGACGCTTTAGAAGATGGTGATGGCGACGATGGTGGTGCCATGGACGAAGACGGCGACGAGGGCGAGGACGGTGGGGAAGAGGACGACGACGACTCAGACATTGACATCATCACCGAACGGAAAGACGGCACAAAAGCAGCCCCTCCTTCGTATGTACACTTCTCGCTTCTTGCGCTCCTAGTTGCTATTCTACTGTATGGATACTAACACGTCTGCCCAGACAATCGAAGTACAGCGACATTCGCAATATACCACAGCGGTCAACCACTGGCGAAGGGAGCGCCAAGGCGACAGGGAAGTCTGACGACACAGCGGCAGGAGCTGCAGCAGGACGGCGAGGCAGTGCAGGCGAACCGTCCGCCGAATACCCAGCCGTGTCCACATCGACTGTTGACATCAACGCCATTCCCGTCCACAAGGCCACCGGCAAGCCCATCACCCAAGTCAACATTGACCTGGACCTCCCCGAGAACGACAAACCGTGGCGCAAGCCGGGCACGGATCTCAGCGACTACTTCAACTACGGCTTCGACGAGTTCACCTGGGCCCTCTACTCACAAAAGCAGGAGAGCCTGCGCACCGAGTACAACCAGGACGCCGTGGCCAGTTCCAACAAGCGCATGATGGAGGACTTCAACATGATGCTGATGGGCGGCATGCCGGGGTTGGGCGGTATGCCGGGTGGGCCTGGTGGTGTTGTTGGTGCTGGCAGCGGCGGCAACAGCATGGCCGCGGGCGGCGTGGTTGCTGGCGGGCCCGGTGCCAACTCGACTGCGGCCGGCGGGAACAATGCGGGCTCTGGCGGTGCTGCTGGTGCCAGCAGTGGTTCTGCCGCGGCTGGCGCTGCTCAAGGCGGTATGCAAGGCATGCCAGGCATGGACGGTGGCATGCCACCTGAAATGCAGCAGATGCTACAGCAGATGATGGCGTCGGGCATGGACCCCAGCCAAATGGACCCTGCGACAATGGCTGCCATGATGGGACAAATGGGCGGTGGTGGTCCTGGTGGTGCTGCCGGCCAGGGAGCGGTTGCCGGCGGTGGTTACGGTAACCAAGGCTTTGGCGGCAACCAAGGTTTCGGTGGCTACGACCAGAACATGAGCGGCGGCAATGCTAATCGCGGTGGGTTTAACCGGGGCCGAGGCGGGCGGAGGAATTGGTAGTTTTGGTAGGCATACCTGGTCAGGTCGAGCTAAAACAAAAGCGATGAGCTTCTTCTTTTGTCAATTCCTTTATTTATAGTAGGACAAAATTCCAGTCCCTGTCCATCTTGTGCCCAGTCCCCTCCAAAGTGGTCTCCTGAATTATTCCTTTCTTAGCCAAAATACTCCGTCCTATCTTTGCCAAAACGAACACTAGAAGCACGTTTTCTGCATCCTTCAATCGATCTGAGAACAGTAAACCAACCATGAAATACCTCCTTGCAAAGTGTAATATTCCAAAGACCGTAATTAAGACCTGATCCAGAAAATGAAGGCCCATATTCAGTGATTCCTACCATTCTCTGTGTGGCTCGAGTTACCATCGTCGCCAAGTTCGGGAGAGTCAGTATCGTAATTGACAGCCCACGAGTCATCAGGGATGGTGTACATGCTCGCATCGAGACCTAAATCACCAGATATGAGTGCGGACGAGGCCAATTTCGGTATTGGCGTACAGTTGGCGCCCAGAATGTTCTGAATGGAGTTGTTATACAGCGCCATCTGGTAGAGAAGACTCATATGCTCGTCGGTACCCCATGGTGATGCTATGGGGTTCAGCATCGACGGTTCGGCCACAGTCAGCTGGGATGGGGCTATCGCTGGGTTAGTAGCGGCATTGCTACTATGGCCTCCCACGGTGGCATCTCTTCCGGTGACACCTGTGGTGACTGCGACTTCCATGCTGAAAACATCTTCCATGGGAGCATCAGAGACCATAGCAGCTGAGTCTTGATCTGATCCGGGGCGGCTTCCGTTGTTTACGGCTGCCGGCAGCTGAGTACTGCTTTCACCAGCGGCTGGGCGAAACGGAAGTGTCAACATATTCGTTCCAACGTTGTTGAGATTGTTGAGCCGTGCATCTGTATTGAGTACCGCAAAGCTGCTGGCAACCGATGGGAACTCATTACTACTCGCGCCGCCGCCCATGAATGAGCCGTCAACGTGAAAAGTGGCACTGCTATGGTTGCTTCCTGGATGGAAAGATGCTTGGCCGTCAGAAATCAAGCCTTGGTTTACAGGCGGCCAAGTAACTGGGGTACCAAACGGAGCCACGGGGGTAGCTGCGGCTGTTGTAGTGTTGCCATTTTCTTGAGGCCAGGAGAAAGGAGTGGGCGCCATCGGGGTGAATCCAGGTCCGTTTTCTATCGTTGCCACTTTAGGCACTGCCGAGCTCACACTCATATTCGAATTCGCCGACGAATTCTGGCCTTGGTCCTGGCTCGTATCGTTGGCAACGGTACCTTCGGACGTTCCGAATGTAGACTGCTCTGTAGTGGAGGTCTCTGTCTTGGCTGCGAGCCTCCGGTTCCGGACGCGGGGCTTTCTCTGGGAGGACAGTGGCGGAGAGCCATTCGCAGCCGCGGTTCCTGAGGGTTCACCAGCAGTATCGTTTTCGAGAGATGTTGCGGCATTTCCAGCTGTCGTCTTCGCCTTCTTTGCAGCATGACTCCGCCGGCTCATCTCGCCAAGCTTGCGTGTCTGCTCGATCAAGCCACTGTGGGCAGTTCCAGCGGCAGCAACTACGTTGCCGTCACGGTCCTGCAAATCACCCGATGAGCCAACTTGTACTTGGCCCGTTCCAATGGCATGTCGACCTACAAACACCTGTGCATTGCGTTCCGCGTTCTGGGATCGATTGTTCTCCTTTCGGCGATACTCCCTGCGTGGGTGTGCTACCAGCCGGGCCATGTAATCAGACTCGAGCAGACTACAGACGGCCGCCTTCGAACGACGTAGAGTCGTAGCAACAGCCTCAAACCGGTCATTGAAGCTAGTGAACTGGGAGTCCCAGCTCCAGTCGCGGCCACTCCAATTCATAAAAGGCAGTTGGCCACGGTCGATATCGCGGATTGCGTACTAGAAAAGTAAGGTGTTAGTCGCCACCACATATGTGAGAAGTCAGCATTTCGAGGAGGCTTGTCTATACCAAAATTTCCCAGGAGAGCATCTCGACCTCGATGCGGGTGAGACCCTTCACCTTGGAAACGCTAATTGTTTCCTTTTGTTGCAGAACGGGCTTCTTGGGAGAGCCCGTTTTCATTCGTGGACTGTTGGCCTCGGCTGCATCCTTAGAATTGCCGTCGTCGTCGTCGTCTCTCTCTGTGGCCGACCGTTTCCGTGGCGGAGTAGGGCTACTAGTGTCAATATCGCCATCATCGCCGCTATCGTCGCTGCTTGAGCTCTTCAAGGACAATGGCCGCTTTTTTTCTAGGATGTCATTCATGTTGAGAATAGCATCATAGAGTTTGCATACGAGCTTTTGCTGCTCTTCGATGGAAGTCGGAAAGTCAGACCAACGCTCTGGCGGCACCGACTTGAAATCACGGCTGCCGTACTCTGCACGTATTTGACGGGCCTCGTAGTAGCTGCGGATGAGGGGGCCGCTCGTGTCGCTATAGTAGTTTTCGCTCTTTTCCTTAAGTCGAGTGGACCAGTCTACAGCACGTCCATCGAGAAGAGTGGCACCATTGAGCGGAGCATCCGTTCCTTTATTGGCCGAGAGCGACTTAGAGATGCGATGACCAGTGGCCTGGCCTGGTGGTATAGCCAAGAAAATGGGCTTCCATGCTTGCAGGGCAGCAACGCTCTTGCGTAGCGTGCTTTGGTCTTGCTGACCAGCGTATGCCGCAACGTACTCTGTAATGTTTGTTTTGCCAGTGAGGCTTTCAAGGAAGCTCTTGGAAGGGAGCTCCCCGTGATAGATAAGATGGTCTGAGATGCAGTCTAATTTTGGCGAGGAATAGTTTTAGTTTGCGATATAATGTAATTCCCTCTGCGTGAAGGTATAACATTTGTTTGAAAACATTGAGAACATACCGAGGATGAAGAAAAATATATTCCGGTCACTTTCATCGAGCACCTGTAGGTAATCAAGAGGCTTGGCGGTGGAGCCGTCCATGTTGCTCTGTATTGTTTTGAATACTCGGAGCAGTTAGGACTCGTACTCTTTATGGTTGGTGTTGAATATGTGGCTGCGTTGAGAAGGAGAGGGCAAGGAATGAAAATAAAGGTCGGCAGAAAGATCAAAGGCTTTTGTGCGGAGTATGAAGAGAGATGGTGTGAAAGTCGAAGTTTAAAGTGCACATTGTCGACGAGACCATTCTCTTAAATAGAAGAAATGGAAGCAAGAGAAGAACCATCCTGCCCCTGGCTGAATCTCTCCAGACGTCCACTAGGCACAGGACAGCCTCGTCTTGCCAAGACATAATCACTGTGTCCGGAAGGAGCAGTGAAGTGTCTTGGAACGCCTACCGGCCCCTCCCACCTAGGTAGGCCGGCCATGGCTCAGCCCGCCCGTCAAAGACAAGTCAAGCGGCTTCCGCGTCTGGAACATCCGGAAGCTGGATCCGCTTGGGGCTGGCGTCGAGCTCCCCGCAAGAGAATGAAACATTTCAGTCTTCCACCTAAATCTTTCGTGCGGCTCTCTATAGTAGTTCCGACGCTTCCTGTATTGATCTTTCTCGAGGGAACTGATTTGAGCTTTGAGCCTGTTATTCTCTAATGCTCTGACCTCGTCTTCTGTCCAATGGTGGCCCAGGTTGCTGGTTGTGGCGAAAGGCGACAGTGAATGCTTTGTTTGTTGTCGAAACTTTAAAACATAAATACGTTCCATCTTCTTCCCTTTTATTATTGATGGCTTTGTTGTATCACATGTGCTTCTTGCCTATGCGACACAATATCACCACCGGAAGGTGCGAATCGAGAGGAGGAGTCTAAATGCACAGTAAATGCTTAGTTAGCTAGTCCATAATAGGCAATTATTGTATAAATAGCCACTAGATGGAAAATGCATGCCGTGCGAATAGACAGACGGACTGTACTAAAAGCGTCATTACGGAGAGATGATTTCCACTGCACATGGTTTCGAAAGCAACAAACCAACTGTTCCTGATGCGAACGCTCTATTTGCTTCTGCGAGCAGAAACCTATGGCAGCGCTGTCATCTGGTTGTTTGGCATCGTCGGTGGCTTGATATAATTGACACACTGGGAACACTCCTCGATCCGGAGCACGAATAACAGCTTTTGTCTAGGCCTGTACTGGAATCTAGGCAATAGAACACGAACAATAGATAAAAGAAGAAGACGACCATAACAAAGAGCGACCAAGGCTTATGAGACATAAGAGGTCAATGTTGTCTCGCGACATTGATGAATCGATGTTCACTTTCACGCGAATCAGCCAGATTCGGCACGTGACCTATATTGTCACTACTTCGGGAAGGCGGTCAAATGGCCGAGCCAAGCTACCCTGGCAGAAAGCAGGCCCACAAAACTGGGACGGCAAGAGCTCTTGCCATCCAAGGGATTAAGCCACGATTGCCTCCTAAAAAGGCCAGAACACAGAAAATAATCCACGAAACTTTAACTACGTCAGAACCCCCATACGTTCACCAAACAGCAAAATAAACGGGAAAGGCAAAAGCAAAACAGATCGACAACCTCCCAGCGGCAACCGACACTACCAATATTTACATGGTGGGCAGCGGTTTCGAGGCAGAAAAAGAAGATAATAACGACGCCAACGCGCCTTGTGCAATACATTTCCGACCCCTTTCTTTTATCGCATCCCATTTCCTCACGCGACCCGTCCATCGACGGTAACGACTTTGTCATAATGGTAAAGCTGGACCCTACGTGACCCTCTGTGCCTGTTTTAGGATGTCCATGATTCTAATATTCGTCTTCAGAACACCGCATTCAACAGCGCGCTCAAGCAGAGCACATCCATCCGCAAAGACCTCTCCTCCTTCTCCGCAGCACTCGGCGCCGACCCGTCTGCACCACCACAACACCTGCAGCAGCCTGTATCTGCAGCCACGGTTGGCGCGCTGTCCGCCAGCTTGACTGCCTTTGCGCGCACCGTCGACGAATACAATGCACTCGCCAAGCAGGAACTCAACCCGGCAAAACAAGAAAAGGCATTTGACCGCATCCGCAATTTCCAGACCGAGCTCGGCGAGTTCCGCGCACAGTTCGACAGCTTGAAAGCCGCACGCGAGGAGGCCGCGCACCAGTCGAACCGCACGGAGCTACTGGGGCGTCGGCCATACGCAGCAGTAACGCCCGAGAACCCGTACGCAACAACGTCGGCAACGGCAACAGCGAGCGGCAGCCACAGTTATGGCGGTGCCGGTGGTGCCGGCCACTCCAGGACGATGAGCACGGCCGAGGACCAGCGCGAGGCGCACGCGCTGCGCGAGCAGAGCTTCTTTGCCAGCACGAACACGGCGCTGGACGAGTACATTGCGCGGGGTCAGGCGGTCCTGGGCGACCTGAGCAACCAGCGGGATATGCTCAAGAACACACAGAAACGCATGTACACCGTGGCAAACACACTGGGCATCAGCGGCGACACGATCCGTATGATCGAACGGCGGGCACGCGAAGACAAGTGGATCTTCTGGGCTGGTGTCGTAGTATTTGTGCTCTTCTGCTGGCTTTGCTTGCACTACTTACGGTGAGGACTCTTGTGATACCGGGTGGTTTAGAGCAGAGAAAACTTGTGGGAAATCATTTGCGTTACGTTACGGCATTCATGTTTCCGGTGGTCTTTCAGCGCGGCGTTTTCTGCCTCGGTCGTCCTGATTTTATAGGGCATATGTACAAATTTATCATTGTTTGGGAGGACACTCTTCTGTACATCATCAGGCAGAAACGATTTTTGTTTAGCATTCTAACCAAGTCGACCATGTCCGCTAAAAACACACAAATAATAAATAACTTAATCGATCACGAACGACACAACAGCTAATAAACGCTTTACAAAAAAAAACAATAATAATAAGGAAGCTACTTGCCCTGCCACTCTTCCTTTAAAGCTATCGTAAAGACAACAGACCGGTTTGTCAGCACCTCAACGATCTCCGTCTCTGGCAGGACGTGGTTGCTTGTCGACATCTGCCCGCCAAACTCCGTCGGCCAGTCCGTAATATCCCATTCCAGACCAGACGTGGTGATGACGCTGGGACCTTGCATAGGTAGAATCCCAACGTGTTTTGCGAATACATCCTCAGCCGGCTCGCCGTTGCCGCCATCGCCGCCATCGCCGAGCCGCTCGCGGACGTGGATCCGGTGGAGGCCGGGCAACAACAAAAACGTCAGACTGTCGCTTGTCAATAGGAACGTGCTGCCATGAGGGGCAGTCTCATCCGACCAGCCGATGCGGTACTTCTCACTAGTCGCATCTCGTCGCCGCTCGCCAAATAGATAGAGGTGGTGGAGCTGGCTGACGCCTTGGTCCACGCGGCCGCCGAGTCCACCCAGGGCAACGACGTCGATGCCCGGATGCCGATCCTGGACAAGTTTCACAGCTTTCGTGAAGTCGGTCGAGTACTGGTCGGTATCATGGATAATTTCCGTCTTATGGCCGGCTGTCTCGGTCTCAAAGTACTGTTGGACGTCTGCGCGCAGTGAGTCAAGGTCACCGATAATGACGTCCAGGTTTTTCTAGGTGTAGGGTCAGCAAACAACGAGATGTCCATAAACGACAAAGCGCAGGAAGAGCAGGGCAGCAAACGCAACGACCAATACTTACAAAATCTTGTCCTGCGGTTTCCGCTACGTCGTGCAGCTGGTTTGCGCCTCCGTCCGCAGCTACTCGGAATTGTGCTGCGAGGATGTTAGACTTGGTGACAGCAGCACCAAGAAGGCAGGGTACCGTCTCTTGCATGGACCGACGTACCACGTCGCCATATGCGCTGGACCGGTCCCAGGCTCGTTAATGGCTGATTGAGAATGACGGCAGCATACGGATTTGTTGCGCTGCGAGGATTGCGTTGGAGAAGCCGTGCTGGAAACCAGTCAAAGACCGGTGTGTATGCCGGAGCAGATATGGAAGCCATTGTCGTGGGGTCGGAAGACGACGCGTAGCAATCGACCAAAGAAGCCCACTGTAGACTTAGCTAAGATAGTGTGCGTTGCTTCGTAGCGGTTGGTGCTTCGGAGTGGAAGCTTGAGAGATGTTGTTTAAGGCAGGCCAGGTATCACGCACTCTCACCTTCTACGTTCTATGCGGGACTTCAAAGATAGGTGATTATTCAGTGCTGCAAATAAGAATTTCATCGTAGCTGAAGTATGGACGAACGAGCAAACTGTGCAGCCATCGTTTAAATTTCAGAAAATTCGCAGAATAAGATCAAATCTTGTAGCAAATATTTGACAACGAAGAACAGTAAATAAAAGTAACTGTCGTAATATCAGAACAGTCGGACGTGCGGTGCATTACGTCGTGCGCCTGCCCTACCCACGCGACAATACATTCGGTACGTAGCGTCACGGTCGCCAAAATCTTAGCTCTAAGCCAGCCAATCATCCGCCCGGATGACGGCGGAACGCAGCGCTGTATGCTTTAGTTTCGGCCTTTATGCTGACCAATTCGGCTCTGTAAATTTTTCAAAATAGCTCGCTCAGTCTGTTCACTCACCATTTTCACATCGACGCTGCATTCTCGAAAACGTGACATTACCTTTGCACTATCTTCACCTTTTCCTTTTGTTCCGGCATTCGCGCGCATCGTTTTTCCTTTTTACATTCAATTTCGTTCTCATTATTTTCTTTCGACTTCTCTTCTTTCTTGTACACTATTCCCCTGCTTTTCCTATTCCACACAACTGATCACAATGTATCGCGCATCATTACGTTCCTCGGCGCAACTCGCCCGCACCATCCGCCACCCAGCCGTGTCCGGCGCCCCCCGGCGGTTTGCTTCAACGGCAGCTAGCAGCAGTGGCACATGGAAGGGCACCGTGGCCCGATGGAGCGTGGCTGCCGGCGCCCTGTACTGGTATACCACGAGCCCGATCTTTGCCGACGAAGCGGCGCGCCACAACTCCCTCAGGAGCAGATCGACACCGACGACGACCTCTACCGACGCTGCTGCGATTGCTCCCCAGGACTCTGAGTTCCGCACCATCGACTCCCTACTAGAAGAGAAGCAGCGGGCCGAGGCGGAGAAGTCTGCTGCGGCGGCAGCGAAGAGCAAGAAGGCAGACACAGCAGAGACCACGTCCTCCAAATCGACACCCCCGGCTCCCGGTGGCGAGGGTGCGGCGGTTGTGGGCGACGGCTCGCCTGAGGCTCTGGAGGAGGAGGCTAGCCAGCAGGGCGCGTTCAACCCGGAGACTGGCGAGATCAACTGGGACTGCCCGTGTCTCGGCGGCATGGCCGACGGCCCGTGCGGCGAGGACTTTAAGGCGGCGTTCAGCTGCTTCGTTTTCTCGACCGAGGAGCCCAAGGGCATGGACTGCATCGAGAAGTTCCAGTATGTCGTTCCGTAGCTCGCTCACATCCGATTGCTTCCGAGATCACAATGCTAACCAGACAATAGGCACATGCAGGACTGCTTCCGCAAGTACCCTGAGATCTATGGCGCGGAACTCGCGGACGAAGAGCAGGACGCCGATAACGCGGGTCCCGACGACCAGCGGCGGCCCGGCCATGTCGAAGGCGTTCCCGAGGGCGCTGCAGCATCCGAGTCCCAGCTGCAGCCCAAGCCTGCCGATGTGACGACTGCCCAGTTCGAAGTAGCACCCACAGAGACCAACCCGACTACAAAGAGCGATGCCGCCGCTGAGAACAACGCACCGGCAGCATCGGCCGCCCCGGCGGTGGCCGCTGAGGCTCCCAAAGACGACGTCGTGCAAGCCGAGGCCAACCAATTTGCGAAGACGGAACAAAAACCTGCCGAGGCTGTTGACGATGGCCTCGTGCCCACGGCCGCTTTCGATGCGACCGGCGCCAACAAGAACTAAAGAGGCAACCACGTGCCGAATGAAAGAACGATCACCACTTGTACAACACTAGACGAAACGGAAACGCATTGGGATGGCGGACAGCGGTCGTGGTTATGAGCTTGAAGATGGGTCACGAAAAAAAGAACTATAATAATAACATGGGATGGACGACGGAGCACAGTCGACATCTTCCATGTTTCTGCATGGTTCATTAGGATAGCTTTAGGCTGCCACAACCTCCTTTCTCATTCCATTTTTGTGCGCACTCGTGTATAATGTATACTACCGCCAGAACAATAATGCCGCACATAAAAGAGAATGTAGATACCTGAAATACAAACGCTCCCTCTCTTGATTGTGTACTTTGCCGCGTTAATTCGCATTTATCTACGTTGCATTATGGGCATGTTATTGTTTGGCAAGGTTGAAGATCAATTTAACTGAAAAAAACCTATTCAACTAAAGCTAATAGACATTCTGGGGGTATCAAACTATCGCAACAACAGGGAACAAGACTTTTTTTTTTGGTGCTGCTCCGACTTAAAAGTCAAAAGACAGCGCTGGCTTCATAGCCGTTTTCATCTTGTGCAAAACAGAGTGCATCTTGTGCGAGCGCTTCTCCTGAGGAGTGCTCACGGCAGATCCCTTTTGCATGGTCTCGCCAAAGAGCGACTCCATAGACTGCTTGTTCTGGCCAAAGCGAACGCGATCCGAGCCCTGCTTCTTGACATGTGACTTGAGGTGCGCCTGCCACGAGAGGTCGGCAGGGCTAGACTCGGAGCCAAAGTCATGGAAGACACGGACTTGGGTGGCGCTGGACACGTAGCTGGTGGCACAGTGCTTGCAGCGACCACAGCTGTTTTTCTTGGACAGGATCTGCTCCTTTGTGATCTGAATGTGAGGGCACACATTGATGCACACAGAGTTCTGACTAGCGTCCAGCTGGTAGAGCCTCTGGAGGAGGAAGTGCAGACTGTCATTCTGATCCTTTGCAATTTTGGGCGTGAACGAGTTGGGAAGCCCGTCAATGCGAGGAGTCAGAGAAATTGCTGAGGTACGGCGCATAGTCACCATGTCCATCATGGCGTAGGCCTCAGTTAGCTTGCTAAGGTAATCCTTGAAGCTGCTGGCGCGGCCAGTCTGGACAAGGCGAGTAAGCTTAAGCGCCATTTGGATCTGGTGGTGACTGATCCCGGACTGGTGCGTCATGGTTTCATGGCCAGCTTGAGCCATCTTGGCCTTGTGGTCGTCACCATAGACGGCATCCATGCCCGACGACAGAGGAATGTCGTTCATGTCGATATCGTGGAGCAGCTCGCAGACATCGCAAGCCCAAAGCTCAGCGTGCTTGCGAGCGCGTCTGCAAAGGTGCTCCATGGTGTCATCGTGACACTCCTTCTCATTGGGCTCGGCCACGTCAAACGTGTCGTCCATGTTGGTCAAAAAGTACTGGAAAGCCATTTTGAACAATTTGGAAATAGACAGTCCTGTGGAACGAGCACCGAACGTGGAAGGAGGGGTTTGAGGTTTGCAAATAAACTTCTGTGGGCTGGTTCAGTCACAGTATGTGATAGAAACAGGAAGGTCTGATGAAGCTTTGGACTCAATCAGACAAAAAAGTTTGTTAAGGGTTAAGTTTCAAAATCGAAATGGTCGAAAAGTAGAGAGGAAGGCCAGATATATATACCTGGTTGAGGACGAAATGGGCTGAAGCGGACTCAGCATCAACCCGTGACCAGAGTTTGCATGGTGACGTCGAAGTCTACTAATGCCATGATGGTTCTGTCTGTATATACTCAGCAACGCTTCCACGCAGCCATTTTTTATCAGCCCCAGACTCGATGACGCCAAATTAAGCACATGATTTTACTTTCGACGTGTTTCCACATACCTGTCGGCTGACGATGCGGATGTACATAAAGACAATCCCAGATTATTCTATCTCTTTCTCTCTAAAGTCGTCAGCATGATTAAGATGGCTCTGTTCTATTTCATCATGATGCCCTAAAGTGCACATTTGAATATTTGCTTGAATACTTTGATGTTTCGAAAGAGCCATCCATTTGTGGAATGAATTATTAAGATATAAGTTTCCGATGGTATATAAAATCCCTCACTGATTCTATCTAAAGACAATAGACAATATGAACATTTATTGCGTTGTTGTTTTGTTGAATTTTCTTCATATCTTATTGTCTCTGTTTTGATCGTGTAAGTGAGGTTGCTTTGTCCAATCAGAGTGCAGTGTATTTCTTCGCCAACAATGAACGGTTGGAGAGTACATGTGATAGATCACATGCATCATTCGCTGGATGTCACGTGAGACCCACAAGCAGTGCTGGTTCCTTTTTCGAAAGTCGATCTGCTCGGAGCACATGCTGCGACGGAAGCAGTCGATCGCAAGACCCGCCCTGGCCTTGGAGGCCTGTGTCCACGTAAGGACCCATTCTCATAGCAGATTTTGCGATTCTTCGCGCAGAACGACGTCATCGCCCAGCAGCTCCATTCAAGGTCCGCCATTCGCTCCTGTCATCGCCCACTCTGCTCGTCGTTCGTGCCTTCTTTCTTTTGCGATCGTTCGGCCTTTCACTTTAGTCTCGCATTTGGCCAATAGCTCTTTCCATATTTTTCGTCTTTGGCGGCCAGGGACTGTCTTTGATTACATCTGCTCTTGCCGCGACAAAGACCAGAAATGCTCAATCGTCGGGTTCGTAGGGTTCTTTCCTGTAGACAATTACACGCCAAACTCGCGCCTCGTCGATCTAACCCCACCTACGCTCTCCCAGGAGAAAGGGTGTGAAGTCACCATCTGGATACCATAGCAAGACGCCAATCCACAGGCGGCCAGAAGCCAGACCAGGGCCAGAACCAGGCCATTTGGTGACTGCTTGGTTTTGTCATGCCTGCGCTCTGCTTTCTCCTACCTCGTTCTTCCTTCTTTTGTGCCCCTCCCGGCGATCAAATGACAATAAAAACTAAGCTTGTCCCAACTTCTTCCTTGTCCCGCATCTAGCTTCTTCTTCTCTCACAATCTTTACAGCTCAATCAAAACACCGAATCGCTTTTCATTTTCGATTCTTCTCACAGTCAGGCTTTTGTCTCTCGCATACACTTTCTCTGCACATAATTCCTAGCTGCCACCGCGCATTTTTCCCGTCTGCAAAAGTACGTGACATCAGCTACCGCTTTGTACAGCCCTTCGCTCTGCATCCTCAGGCGATTGCAAACCTGCCGCCATCAGAGTCTCCACGGCATCCTTTTCTTTATTGATGTATTTGCTGACTTTTTCTTCCCCCTCATACAGTGTCGTACGCAGACATCGCTTCCAAAGGCCCCAAGCAGACCCCCGAAGAGGTATGTAGCCACACTTTCTGCGTGCTTTTTAGTGGAATATTGGACATTGGCGTCTAGGCCGCTCCAGTCTAGCTTTGTATTCTTTCCTTTTCTTGTCTCTCTTTGGTCGAGTATTGCCAGCTCACATGTCCAACCCCCTAAAGGCTGCGGCGCCGCAACTTCCCGAGGTCGAGAACACCGAGTCGAACGCCTCTACCACGTCATTCCCCGATGTCGACACCCCGGATCTGCAGACCGTGTCTTCTGAGGCACAGGACGTGGCCGATTCGGTGAAGAAGGACGCCAAGGGTCTTTCCCGTGACTTTGAGGCGCAAAAGGCCAAAGTCTCGAGCGCTGCCAAGAACGCAAAGGAGAAGGCGAAAAAGGCCGCCGGCAAGGCCCAGAAGCAGGCCAGCGACACGGCCCACGAGGCCGAGGTGCAGGCCAAGCGCGCCGACAACTGGCTGACGAAGCAGTTCTCCATCCTGGAGTCGGACCATCCCGCCGCGACAAAGGTGGCTGTGGCTGGCAACCTCGTAGCCGTTGTTGGCCTGGGCGCATTCCTGGGTTTCCGCGCCTGGGGCCTGCATGAGCAGGGCCGCCTGGACTGGAAGAGCACAGCAACGGGTCTGGCCGTGGTGGGCGCCGTTGGCATCGTGGAGAGCACGCTCGCAAAGTGAGCCGACAGTCTTCCATCATTTTTTTTGTTTCACATTGTGCCTGCGTCCGTGTACTAACTTCCATCCAGCTATTTCTACAAGGGACAGAGCAAGAAGCAGTAGGTATCTGCATAGGTGAACTGCAGGGAGGATTGACGTTCTGAGGCCGAGTTAATTGGCGGGCTCGCTGCAATTTTGCTGTTGAATTTCCCTTTCGTCTATTTTGAACAGTCTTGCATGCTCTGGTCACGGCGGTATTCAGGGTTGGAATGGATAGGGTCCTTTTCCTTGCGCATTTTATTCATTCATTTCTGTTTTGCCCGGAATCACTTAGGTTGCGTATTGTTTGTCGGAGATCATTCCACTCTATTTCCAATAAAATTTGTGCATTTTATATTTTGCTCGCTCTGCACAGCGTTCTACTATACATTGGGGATGAAGGACACACCATGCCTCAATATAGGGGGGACAAGTACCTGATAACCTGACAAATGTACAAAAATAATAGATGAAACAAGGCGCGACATCCCGTGCACGCCCAACCCGTCTAAGCAATATTGCAAACAAACTGAGCATTCGCAAGATGTGTATCATGAATGATCGCCAACAAAGCCTCAGATGTATCGATATCGCAACAACAATGTCCGAGAATGTAAAAAGAATAGAGATGCGAGAAAACCCAGGACAAAAAAAACAAACGCAGGCGACAAAGACGGATGATCCCGAACGAACGTTAAAGGAGACAAACAATGCCAGGAGGTGAAGAGTCACCGGATATAGATTCAAATATGATGAAGAATGTAAGGCGAACAGAGTTGTCGCATGCAGCAAGTCAGTTAGTTGCCCTGGCGGCTGATGGCCTCGCGCAGTCGCTTTACCCAGTGCTTTCGTAGCGTGGCTGGCATCTTGCAGAACATAACGGCCTTGCTCGTGTCGGTCAAGATCTTCTCAGCGATGCGAAGCTGCAGATCCATATCCTCATCGGCAAACTCCAAGAAGAAAATCTCCATGGCCTGCTCAGGCCATCGTGTGGTCGATGCGAGGGTTGCAGCGGCGGCGTACTTGGACAGAACATCGCCCAGAAGGTTAGTGATGCCGTCTGCACGTGCGTTGTTGTTACTTGCGCCGCTGCCGGAGCTCTGGCGGCCGGTGCCAAGGGGGATGATGGCATCGCTAAACGACGACAGCCGCGACCCAGCCGGGGTCTGACCAGCAGCTGTGGCGGCGGCCGTGGCTGACGCAGCGGCAGCTGCATTTGCTTGCGATTCGGCGCGGTTCCGGGCCGCTGCGCTGTTGGCGTTGCCGCTGCCGTCGGTGCGCCTCCGTTTGGATGCTGCCGTCGTTGCCGTCGGTGTGGTGCTGTCGCCACCGGGCGCGAAACGTTTATGGCCCTGGCCAACCGCATTGTTACTGCTCCTGTTGCCATTGGGTTCATCCGGGGGTGTTAAGGCCGCCGCATTGCCTGCGCGACCAATGGCACCTACCCCTGTTTGTCGCAACCCGCCTGCCTGGGACGCGGCTGGTGGCGGCTGGATCGCCGAGTTCGACGCGGACACGGACTGTGTAGCTGTGTTCGGTGTGCTCTGCAGCGTCGGGCGTATTTGTTGAGCGCTCGCACTGTTCTGTGCTGAGTTGGCGTTGCCCTGTTGGCGCGACTGGGGGGTGGCGCCTGTCGGAACAGGAACTGGCGTAGAGTTGACGGTCGGGACGATACCGCTGGAGTTGTTCCGCTGGGGTGTCGCCCCTGTGTTGCTGCCAACGACTGGGCCGTTTGCAAGGCGCATGATGCTCGTGCCCGGTGGTGCCTCGCCACTCGGGATATTGTCAGGGCCCTTTCTGCGGGGCTTCGTGACGCGCTTGGGCTGACCGCCGGAACCGACGACATCGGGGAACAGGATCTCGAGATACTCGGCATTTTCAAACGGGCGCTCGCGAAGTGCGCGGGCGAGAGGCTCTTTCTACGCGGCGGGCACAAAAAACATGGTTAGTGGGCTGCAGACAAGTCCCCCCGTAGGTCTGTCCACACACGGCCGTCTTCTTACCTCCAGATGGCTCGTCCATGCGTCGTCGCTTCCCTTAATTATGCGCGTGGTCGGATCAAACGTAAACTGCGGGTTCTCCATAAGGCCGCGCCACAGGCGAAACTTTTTGCGCGCATTGTCCGTCTTGTTGATTAAATGCTGCTTTGTCGGATACGCGCCTTGTTCGCGCAGCATGGCCAGCGCGCGGTTCCAAGCCTCGGGCTTGAAGCTCATGTTCTCGCGAAGGCCCAGCTGAACAGACTGGCAGAGCGACTGAAAAAAAGTCGTCTCGTAGGCTGGCGTCCAGCTGAACCGGGGCTTCTTCTGCCATGGTAGGAGCGCGGTCGGCACAGAGGCGTGCGCGTCGGTCCTTGGCGACTCGTCCTCCGACATGGTCGGCGACGTTCCGTGAAAGACAATCGACGTGGTAGTGGTCGAAGGCGACGGCGCGAAGGTTGTCGATGTTTACTGCCCTTTTGGTCTAGCCGTGAGCACGGTTCGGCGCGACGTATGCTCGACACCAGTATGCACAAATAGCGTTGGAGCGACGTGCAGGGTGCAATACGGACGAGGCCGTGAAAGGTCGTAGTGGTGGCGATTTGAGACGGAGCGGCGACCGTGGGGGTGGTGGAAGAGACAACGGAAGAGCTGGGCAGACTATGGTTTGGGGAAAGGAGAACGGCAACTAGTGATGCAAACGGAGGGAAACGAATAGGAAAGAGGGAAATGGAAGACGGAGGGAAGGGGTGCCGTGCGACAGTGGGCGAAAGGGGGAACGCGGGCAGCGTAAACGAATCTGTAGCAGCGACACGGTAATACAACGAAGAGGGCGACGGAGAACGCGGAACGGAAGGACCGGGGTTGATACGAGGATAAGATTGCAAGAATAGCGCTTCTGGGGAAAGAGCAAAGGTGTCGTCAGCTCCGTAATGCTTGCGAGGGCTCTTCGTGGACGAAGGACCGTGGCTCGTGGGTGCTTCTTCCTGTATCGCGCCTACTTCCTTGCAAACGGTAATAAGATATCAGGAAAGAGATGGCGAGAAAAAGAAGAAGGAACCGCCCAGATGGCTGGGCTCCAAAGTCAAAATAGGAGATAAAGCAGGGCAAAACGGAGGTTTGGAGGGTCCAAAAGCTGGATGGACAACAGTGTAATGAGGGCCCAATCAATGGAGACTAGTCAACCAGATGGAAGAACAAAGCCAGCCGTTTCCACTCGAAGGAAGCCCGTCCTCTGATCCTCACTATTTCCAAGGTAACAATGAGAGGGAAATGCAAGAATACACCTTGCAAAAACGACGACGGAAAAGAAGTCGAACGAGGCCACGAGACAAGGAGGGAGGAAGGAGCTCCAGCGTTTTGAAAAGGATGTGAAATATGAGTGGCTGGGAAGGTGCGACGGGAGGGAGCCCAAGAGTTTCGGCGTGGACCCTCACCCTTTTTTGAGATGGAGAACGGTCGAACCAGTGGCTTGATTGGCTGGCCGGGCATTATTGGCCCAGCGGAAGGTTGGCTACGCGTATTACGGAGCCATTGGGCCAATTTTTCACTTTTTTTGTAAAGTAAAAAAAAGTGAAAATTCTCAGTTTCGTTTAGCGCCATCCTCCGAAATTTGAAACGGAAAGAGTTGGGCCTTCAGGCTACGGGCAAATACACTAGGGTCCAACACTGCACTGCGTCGCTTATTACTCGTGTATTTCTTCGTGTCGTTCCAAACAGTCAAAGCAGACACAGTCAGTGATACGTCGTCTCGAAGCTGACTGGACATGCCATGTCATTCACAGGTTTTGTGCTACGTTTTGACCATTCCAGCACTGTCACCGTACGTCGAACTGTTGACCTGTTAGTTTGGAGATGTATTTTAATTGGCTTTGCTTTTTTATGTGCATCCTTTTTTACGTTTTGTTTGATTCGAATAACCGGTTCCATATTCAACATACTATGTTGCAACCTGCACGACGACGATGAACTTGGAATATTCGTTTTCCATGCAATTCCACACGTATGCCCATTGTTTCCTCTCCTTGTCCCTTTTGATTGTTCCTGTTGATCGGTACACTTTGAACTGAATGTTTATATTTTGTCACACAGTTTGAATATTCTCAAATCGAGTAACATTCCCGATGAGCACGAGGTGTCATAAAATTGCACAAGTTCATATTTTCATAGTATTGGTGCTCGGATTTGTTTTCTGTCCTGATACTCACTTCATACCCCTGAATCAGAAAGCACGGCGGGTCCTGCGTACAGCCCATCGACGGGTGTCGTGAACGTGCCGTTTTCACCTGCTACGAGACAAATCCTGGGAACGCATGAATGATCGCTGGAAGATCTACCAGATCGCTCCCGGTCGAATGTTGTGTATGGTCAGCCGTCGGAGATACAGGCACGATTCACATTCCACGGCACAAAATGCCAGCAGCCCCGGTACCCAGCGAGAAGGGCAGAGACAGACAAGTGAACATGGACCTCAACATAGAGCTTACCAGTGCTAATCGATAGCAGTAACGAGGCTCGCGAGGGTCTGATGCAGGGGAGAGTATGTGCTTGGGCTATGCTTCAGAGATTCACCGCGATGTGTGTTGTGTCCGTCGTTCACATCCCCTAGCGTGAACCACGGATCAGCGATGAAAATCGCCGTTTCTCTCACGGATACACACGGGCTATTTTGCAGGCCTGGCCAACTGCGCCTTGGCTGGTTTAGTGGCCCACAGACGTCGGGTTCGATACACCTTTCCCGCCAAGCCTGCCGGAGATAGGGAATGTGCATGCATACGCGTCAACGGCATACTCCATACATGAGGCTTGTTTCTAGCGCCGCACCCAGGGTCACCACAGCCGACAGCAAGGGTAACAAACACACATGGGAAACTGGCCCCTGTTCATTCTGTTTCTCCTTTCCCACTGTTTAGCACAGACAGCTTTCGATTTTGGCCAGTTGTGGGCTGTTCGGTAGTGGAGGTGGTGAGATGCTGAAACACGAGAGTGCTGGCTGTTTGGGTCCAAAGGTGAAACATTGTTGGCAACAGGGAGAAGGCCCGACATACGACGTACCAAACCCTCTCAACAGAGAGTGTCTGTGTCGTGAGTATTGGTACACTGCCTCGATCCCTGCCTCCCAATCGACAAGTATAATTTATTACCATGTTTGCAATACAACCCGAGGCGCGCAAAATCACAGTTGCGCAAGCTGTCTGAAATAGGAAAGTGAGTATCCAAGACCATTATACGTTTGCCAGGGCTTTCGTATGACTCTCGCGCAGATAATTGGGGTGCACGTAGCATGAAGTCTTCCTAATTGATCTCGGCTCTCTTACAACAATGGAGACACCCGGCTTACATGCAATTCTTTTTCTCTTTTTCAAAACATGTGGCATTCCGCAAGACTCTTTCAATATGATTTGACCCGTACGATATTTGTTGCCAGTTTGAAAAACGGCGCCTAACGCATTGTGGAGAAAGCTCATATCTGCCAAGTGAAGTCAAAATGTCAAGTGAAGACGATCGAAACATATTCCAAGATGAGCTTCTGTACACCTCTGCTAAACTTCGACTGCTTTTAGTATTTTACACTGAAATTCCACACATATGTTTGTTTATTATTTTTAACGATATATCGTCACTAGCCTAGAGGTAGAATTACGAGCTTGGTGAGCCGTTTTGGTGAGGTTGATCATGATACAATCCAGCATGTGCTACACACTCTCGAATCCTTGTGTTCTTGTACCAAGTGCGGGTACGGCTGATCCCTTGGCTGGCAGGCCTTGGCTTTTCAGGCACTGGATAATACCACTCGTTTAGTATAGCATACGGCGGGTAATCCTTTCATTTCAAAAAGGCAAGCCAAGCCATACGCATCCAGGACAGGGACAGCAAGCATTTCATGCGCAGAAGATCTAAAGTCCTGTTTGGACGACCTGCGTTAAATGTGATATCCTGTAATAAAATAATTTGGCCGAATTTTAGCAACTAGATTTCAAGAACTTTCTTGCCATCAGCTTAGGAGACAACTGCAAATGGAACTGCCGACATAGAAATCTTGAGCGTAAGGGGGGGAACGAAGAAGAACAAAAAACGAGAATTGAGAAACGAAGATGAGGATCCGGTTCTAGGAAAACCGAAGGATACAGCAATTCCTATTTTCCGTAGATGCAGCAAATCGCATCACCCGCAGCCTCGACCGGCTGTTTGAGTGTTATGTTTCGGTAAACGGCCCAAACGAACATCCAGGGTCTTTGCGCTGCACAGCCGCCGCGGTTTGAGAGGAGACACAAAGCACACGAGTGGGAGAAGATATGCATGTTCAAGCAAAAGTACACCAACACAACCAGGTTGAATCGCCGAGTAACAAGCGCCGCCGCTACACGCCCCTTCCTCGTCGGTAAGTGTGAGTCCAGCAGGTAATATTCAGTCCAGCAGGAACAACACTCACATTGACTTCCTCAGTACGATGGCATGATTACCGTAAATAGCAGGTCCACAGGACGCTCTTGCATGTGGACATAATATCGTACAGAAACTAAAGCGCGCTCTTTCCTTCTCTGACTTCCTCCTTGCTGTCACGGGGACTTGACAGTGTAAAACCACAGTTTCCTACTCAGGACACTGCCGCTAGTTTGGCGGCGAGTCGCCCGCTTTCGTTTCTTCAGGGGCCCCTGCCAAAACCCGGGTGGATCGTCAATCGGAGAGATTCTGGCTCTGGACCCAGATGCAGTGGGGCGTGTAGAGAAGGTGCGACGGGAGCGAAGCGGCCCAATGGCGAAAGTCGAACCTGCTACAAGTGTCCGGTCTTCAAACTGGGTCGATGCCCCCTTTTAGGATTCTGTTTCCAACAACAACAACACTTCCCATTTGCCAGTTGGTTTGTACCGTTAGAGATTTTCTTGCATACCACACGTCGGGCGTCGTCATCAGTTCAATTCTTTCTCCACGGCCAGTGCCCTGACTAGTTATTATCTTTCTTCTGACGACCTCTGGGTCGCCAAACCGACGGCCTCATTTCAGTGGGCGGTTCCATTGCGGCCACAATTTCTTGCAAGATACTGAGCCCTCAGCAGATGGTAATATGTCTGCCTCACTTTTGATCCTTGGGGACATGTGAGGCGGTTTGGGAGCCGCAGTTACCCCCGTCTCTTTATCCATAGCCGTGGCGAAAACACGAACCCTCCTCTTTCCGTCGTTCCACTGGATTTCACAATGGCTTAGCTACTCCTATTGCAAGTGACATTTTCGTCACCACCATCCCTTTGCAGTTGTTATCCTCCTATTAGTGGAGGCTCTGCATACCCTCGCCCTGATACCCTTGTGCAGAGCCACTTTCCAACTTTCCAGTGACCTTCCAATGATCTTCCCTTCACACCCCCATTGCCTTTCTCCGTCTGCCACCCCGGCTCGCCTATCCCTCCAATGGCCTGTGCGTGGTGATCTCCGGCTATGGTGAATCAAAGCATGGTCCACCCAGCTTGGCATGGGCCGAGGGCTGGAACAATGAGAGCATCGGTGTACACAGTTTGTCGACAAAGACGACCGAGCAAAACTACATTTGTTTGCAAAGTTCCAGGAAAAGATGGCTCCACAAAGGGAAAGTAGGCGGAGTGCGATACCTGGTCTTCATGGGCCAGGAAGCCGCCCTGGCCTCGCCAAGGACCATTTGGTCTAAGGGGACCCCCATATATGAGCATGTTGTTGTGTTTCTTTCTTTCATATCCCAATTATATAACACTCCAAGGAAATCCGTTCTTTTACCTCTTTTCTTTCTTTTCTCTTCATCCCTCTCGACTTTTTGCTTTGTCTTCCCATTTCCTTCCTTGGCCCCCCCTTCTTTTTTTATTTCCCTGGTTCACTGTTTACTTTTGGCTCTATCAAAGTAACTTGAACATCTCGCCAGTGGTGATTCTTTTCTTCACCCCTTCTTTGATATTTTCTTCTTAACGACACGGAACGACGTCTCGTCCACCTGGTGTGGTTTGTTTTCTCATATACGCACTCGTTATCCAAATATTTTTTTCTTTCTCTCTTCATATTTCCAATTCACTCTTCCACCATGCGTTCGACCTTGAGTGTGATCTGCCTCCTGGGGCTTCTCATATCCTTCGTGTGCGCGGCTCCGGCCCCGAATACTATTCAGAAACGGTCTTTTAAGGTTGAGCGTGTCCGCAACGCAGCGTATGCTGGCCACAATACTCCGAAGCAGCTGATGAAAGCTCATTTAAAGTACGGAGTCCGGCCGCCACAGAACCTGGTCGCGCACCTCAACGCACAGGAGGTCGCCCGCCTAGAAGCTATCACGCAAAGCAAGAGACGAAGGGTTCACAAGCATGGCAATGGCAGTGGCAATACTGCCGGCAACGGCAACGCCGCCGGCAACAGCAACGCCGCCAGTAACAGCAACGCCGCCGGCAGCGGCAACAGAAACGGAAACAAAAACAGCAACGCTACCGGCAACAGCAATGCCAATGCCAACGGCAAAGCCAATGGCACAAGCACAGCTACCATTGACAACGGCAACAGCACTACTGGCGCCACCACCTCTACCACATCATCTACCAACTCGACGTCTACCAACTCGACGTCTACCCACTCGACATCTACCAACTCAACCTCAACCAACACGACCGCCGCCGCTGCTATCGGAAGCGGTGTTGGTATTGTGATCAACACGCCAACTTCTGGAGATGTCGAATACCTTTCTCCCGTGAGCATTGGTGGCCAGACACTCAACATGGATTTTGACACCGGCTCATCGGATCTCTGGGTCTTCAATACCGGCCTGTCTGCTGCTCAATCCAAGGGTCACACCCTCTTTGACTCCACCAAGTCGACCACGTTTACCAAGCTGACTGGCCAGACCTTCTCCATCTCCTACGGTGATGGTTCTGCTGTCTCTGGCACGGTGGGTACTGATGTTGTCAACATTGGCGGGGCATCGGTGGCCAAGCAGGCCGTCGAGCTGGCTACTCAAGTGTCGAGCTCGTTTGTTGCGGATACTGCAAGCAACGGACTTGTCGGTCTGGCCTTCAGCAAGCTGAACACGGTGAAGCCGAAGCGGCAGAAGACCTTTTTCGACAACGTCCAGAACAGCCTGGCGGCGCCCGTGTTCACAGCCAATCTACGCCACGATGCGGCTGGATCGTACGAGTTTGGTACCATCGACTCTACCCAGTTCAATGGCACTATGCATTTTGCCGCTGTCAACACGTCACAGGGCTTCTGGCAGTTTAGCAGCAGCAAGTTTGCTATTGGCAATGGTGCTGTGCAGACCGGCGGGGCAGGTCAGGCCATTGCCGATACCGGCACCACGCTGCTCCTGGCCAGCGACAAAATTGTTACTGCCTACTACTCAAGCGTGACGGGTGCCCAGAACAACCAGCAGGCAGGTGGTATCACTGTCCCCTGTAATGCTAACCTGCCGGACCTGCACCTCGACGTCGGCGGCAACATGGCCACGGTCAGGGGCACGGACATTATGTTCGAGCAGGTTACGGGCAACACCTGCTTCGGTGGTCTGCAGGCCATCGAAGGTGACCTGATGATCTTTGGTGATGTCTTCTTCAAGTCCAACTTCGTTGCCTTTAACCTGGGTAACAACACTGTTGGGTTTGCGAGCCACGCTTAAATGAGCCAGAGAGCATTTGCAACCTTTGCCTTTTCTATTTCTCCTTGCCTTATTTTTGCCTTGTCCACATACAACTTGGCTGGCACATACTTTTATCTTTTGCATGGAACTGGTTCCCAATGAAGCAGGAATGTTCCCATTTGCACCTTGTACATATAAAAAGTCCATATACATATTATACATACATCACCTGCGGCCAAAGTTTTTTGGTTTGTTCTAACACCGGGAGCTCACCCTGTATCTGTTCCATCCTATGTAAACAACGTAGTTCTCTATGAATGTCTGCATACTATTTTTCTCCTGTGACCAATATTCTAACTAAAAAGCTGAAGTGACAGAAACCAAAACACGAAGCTGGGGCATCGGTGAACAGTTACGCAAGCCTTTCCGATGTGTGGGACTATTGCAGCATGCTACTAAAGTAGTGCATCAGCGATGTTTCAACGTGGTTTTACTAATACTTAAATCCAGAGGAAGCAGAATTGTGATGTGACATTCGCTGAAAAAATGCTGAATTTCCAATCTGGCCAGGGGCAGTTTTGGACAACCCCAAACCATCTCGCTCCGTGCTTCTTCGCCCGTCAACCAGGACTTCGTTTCTTGGAGGCAAATCAATAGCATCCTCTCAAATGTTTAACGCTTTTTTGTTTTCTTGTTATGTTACAATTATGCCGCAGCGGGGTCAGCTACGGCCGGTGCGGCCGCGTCTGAAGCCTCTTCGTCGTCCAGCCGGATCACGTACTTGCCGTCGACTTTGCCGCGGCCGACGTCGTTTACCAATTGGTCAATGGCAGAGAACCTGGCCGGCTTCGTCAGCGGCTTCACCAGGCCACGCTTCACAAAGTCGAGCGCCTCGAGGATGTCGCCGCGCTTGCCCACGGCCGAGCCGAGCACCCGCCAGCCGTTGGCAATGAACGCCGTAGGGTGGAACAGCACGGGCTTGTCAATGGGCGGAATGCCCACACACATGAGGGCGCCAAAGGGAGCGAGCATGCCGAATGCCGACTGGTATGCAGCCGGGGCGCCCGAGGCCACGAGCACGGCGTGCACGCCCACCTCGCCTGGCGTCAGCTTCTTGACAGCGTCACCGACGGACGACCAGAACGGATTGGCGGTCGGTGCGCCGTCGGGGAGCTTGGGCAGGGATGACAGATCCACGTAGTGGTCAACGTGCGCGTGGGTCTTGGCAAGCACGCCCTTTTCGGCATTGACGTCGATGCCAATGGTACGGAAGCCCATGGCCTTGGCGTACATGAGCGCCAGCAGGCCGACGCCGCCCACGCCCACGACGGCAATAATCTGGCCCGGCAGCAGGCCGCACTCTTTGATGGCCTTGTAGGCCGTGACACCGCCGCACATGATGGGCACAATGTCTTCGTCCGATACGTCGTCCAGCTCGGCCGGCAGGCGCAGGAGGTAGCGCACAGGCACGACAGCATACTCGGCAAACGTGCCGTCGGCAGCCACACCAGACACGAGCCGGGCTTTGCAGCGGGTCTCGGCGTCGTTGTTGGGGTCCATGCAGAAGACGCAGAGGCCGCAGGCATCGCGGTTCCAGGCAAGGCCGATGCGCTGGCCGATCGTCAAGGTGCTGTCGAGGGTGGTGGCGTTGGAGCCAAACGCTACGATGCGGCCAACGCCCTCATGGCCGAGAATGTTGCGGGAGGGGCCCAGGTGGCCGACAGCGAGGCTGTAGTCGGAGCCGCAGACACTGGTGACGGACAGGCGAACCAGGACGTCATTGGGGCCGACTGTGGGTACGGGAACGGTGCGCACCTCAAACTTGGGGTTGGGGCCTCGTTCCTAGACGATGCAAGCACAGTGTAAGTGATGTGGTATTTGGCGGTTGTTGCCGGTTCTCACTTTCCGCTTGTCCTTATGACGAGAAGAGACGGGAATAGGTTATTAACTTACTACAAGCACTGCAGCCCTCTGCGTACGAGTTTCCGTCATTTTGGTCGGGACTTGTCAAAGTAGGAAGAGGTTTGTGTATCGAAGGCGCAAAGCGACGTGAGTTGCCGTCTAGAGTTTCGGTGTAACGTCTTTTATCAATAATGCTTTAAGCTGTCTATGAGACAGATAACGCAATAGGTAAGATTGATGCGAATACAAATTATAAAGGAAAACAGACAAACCGGAAAGGGGAAAGAAGGAGAGGAGAGGGCACGAGTAGTACACAATAGGAAAGAGCACTGCGCCCTGGTCGTGGCATTTTACCATCTTTGATCGGCCGGTTGTGCCTTCCTCCTCACCCCTTCCCGTCCCCCATATCTCCAACCTTCGAAACTACCGGTGCGTGCATGAAATCATCGGCTACGACGTATAGTGGCTCGTAGGGACCAGTCCCGCATGTAGCATCCCGCATCCTACACCCGTGGCTTTGTTTTTGAATCTAGACATTGGGGAAGGACGACGTACCAGCACCGTCTTGAGGTGGTCACCCCTCTTTGCAGCGCGACTTCTTTCCAGATCGGGCCGCCGCCCTTTGCATTTATCTTGTTCGTTATCCTCATCACCTGCTCTATTTCTGAGGAGAGAAAGAGGGACGGCCTTCAATCGTGTTCTGTTCCTCGGTTCCCCGCACAGAAAGGGCGGAGTAAATTCGACAAAGCACGGCCAAGCAACCGCGCGCGTCAACTAGAGGCAAAAGGACGAGAACCGTTCAAAGAGTCGAATTCAAAACGCCTCGGCTCGATGCGCCCGACTCTACGACCACAGATAGTTTGTCTATAAACGACCGGACATACATACGCAAACGGTTACAAACGAAACAAAACGATGTGCGGGGAAATCACCACCACAATCCTTGGTGGCGAACACAATTACCTATTGGCAGTTACAGGCATAGCTTGTAAATATTGGAGGAGAAAAGGCGCTGGTTTGTATTAGAAAAAAACATGAAAAGGAGGCCGGCGAAATAGCTATAGAAAGAGAAAGAGAAATAACAAAAACTTTCCAGAAAACCGGGTATTTCCAATTTATTCTTTTCTTCAAGAGCCTTTCAACACTACACCCTCAAGGCCTCGTCTTATTGTAACTCTCTCAGGATGTCGAGGAAATAAATAGATTTATCTGGGTTCGGCATAAGTGCGTGCGCATTCCCACGTGGAGCGGCTCTGGAGGCTGACGGAGGCTGGGCCGCACGAACTATCAACGCCTTTCTTGAAGAACTGTTAGGGAAGTACAATTGAACTTGTCTCGGACGTCCAGCTTCTGATATACGACTCCCGGTGATGGTTGCCACATCAATGCTCTGGGCCTTAGGTTCGGGCCGTTCCCGGCCTCGATAAAGCGACTCATGAAAAACGCGAGGCTCTAGCCAATGGCGCACCAAACAAACCAAAAGCTCACTGGATACCAAAATGCCTCCCGAGAAGTAATAAAACATGACCAGGGGACATGATGCCAATCTCACCATCAACAATACAGATTATGTAGCGGCTTTTAGAGAAAGTAGTGCACATGAAAATAAAGGGCACGCGCTCAACCTCCAACTAATGATGCACCCTTTCCTTGTTCCATTGCAAATAAAGTGGTGCCGCCTAGATCGTACGTTGAGATCAAACGCCAGCTAGGACAACAGATTGCTAGCTGTACACGGTGACCAGTGTGCTGCCCGACAAAAGTAACCAGAAACGCCAAATCCACAGCAGGCCGGGATAAGATAAGTAGGTCTGTGAAAGTCAAAATCATAGCCCATTCTTTCCTGCCAGGCCGCTTATGCTAAACGTGCCATGTATCGATGTACCATCGTAAATGCGAGTGACAGCACTCCCGAGAGTACCATGAGATAGGAGACAAAATTGGAAGGAAAAGAAGAAGAAAAGTAACACCAACAGATACCACAAAGGGACATAGGTGCCAGTGAAAAAAATGTTGCGTAAACCGAAAACAAGGCGCCATGTATCAAAGAAGTCCTATGTGGAAATAAATAAGGCTCCCAATACAAAAAATCAAAAATAGACGACACCAGATGCTGCAAGGCCCAAGGGAGCCACAAGTCATTATTATCTGGATCCCTATTTAAACACCAAGATGGGTTGTCCGGCGGGCAGGTATCAAAATCTCGCTCTCCGAGTCAGAGGAATCGTCGGCGGAAGCGGCGGCAGCACGATCTAGCATCTTTTCGATGTCGTCCTCGTCCAAGGCAGGCCGTGGTTTTGATGTGGAGCTCAGGCCAGACGGCATGGACAGCGGCACCTTCATGCGAGGGCTCAACACGTTCGTACCATCAAACGCCCCATTAGCGCGCCGTTTTGGTGTGCCCTTGTTAGATCGTGAGTACGGTGTTCCATACGGCTCGTCGAGGTCCATCTCGCTGGGACTCCGGTGGTGACCACCACGACGACCGAGGGCAGGCTGTGAGCCATACGTTGGGGCGTTCGGCCGACCTGTGGGTAGGCTCTTGCGCGGGGCAGAGCCAGGGAGACCGTGCCGTTGAGGGCTCATCACGTTGTTGTACTGCTGGGGGTCGTGGTGGCCGGCCGGAAGAGGTTGCGAGGAAGAGATGGGCGGAAAGTGCTTCATGTTGGACGAGTTGCCGGGGCTGCTCATGAAAAGGAGCGTTTCAATAGCATCCTGCTCGCGAACGTTTTGGTGGGGCGTATAGAGAATAGGGTCGGCGGTCGGCGTGCGCACATGTCCCGAATCGAGTGTAGACGGCGTGTGCGGGCTACCCTGGTGTGAGTAGAATGTTGGAAGAGCCGGCGGCGTATAACCTGGATTCGAATTTCGGCGTCCCAGCGCAGACGGCCGAGATGGCTGGATAGAGACTGGTGGGGCGAGGGATCTTGTTGGCGCGGTCGATCCGCTTCGCGACGTCCCGAGAGGCGAAGGCAGGGGAGGTGTGGAGTGGTTGCTACGGGAGCTTTGTTGTGATGACCATGGCGACGTATCGAGGGTGGACAAGCCGCGATCAGCTGGGGCAATGGTCGTGCTTAAAGTAGAGACGCTCGTTTGGCTCTGATGGCGATCGTGGAAAGGGCGACCAGGAATGCGCG